CAGAACTTGTTATTGGTCTATTCAGGGATTCTACTTCTTCATGGTTTAGTCTTGCAAGGGTGTATGTGTCCAGGAATTTATCCATTTCTTCTAGATTTTTTAGTCTATTTGTGTAGTGGTGTTTATAGTATTCTCTGATGGTAGTTTGTATTTCTGTGGGATCAGTGGTGATCTCTCCTTTATCACTTTTTTTTTTTTTTTTTTTGAGACGGAGTTTCGCTCTTGTTACCCAGGCTGGAGTGCAATGGCATAATCTCGGCTCACCGCAACCTCCACCTCCTGGGTTCAGGCAATTCTCCTGCCTCAGCCTCCTGAGTAGCTGGGATTACAGGTACACACCACCATGCCCAGCTAATTTTTTGTATTTTTAGTAGAGACGGGGTTTCACCATGTTGACCAGGATGGTCTCGATCTCTTGACCTCGTGATCCACCTGCCTCGGCCTCCCAAAGTGCTGGGATTACAGGCTTGAGCCACCGTGCCCGGCCTTCCTTTATCACTTTTTATTGTGTCTATTTGATTCTTCTTTCTTTTTCCTTTATGTGTCTGCTTGGCAGTCTATCTATTTTGTTAATATTTTCAAAAAACCAGCTCCTGGATTCATTGATTTTTGAAGGGTTTTTGTGTCTCTAACTCCTTCAGTTCTGCTCTGATCTTAGTCATTGCTTGTCTTCTGCTAGCTTTTGAATTTCTTTCCCCTCACTTCTCTAGTTCTTTTAATTGTGATGTTAGGGTGTTGGTTTTAGATCTTTCCTGCTTTCTCCTGTGAACATTTATTGCTATAAATTTTCCTCTAAACACTGCTTTAGCTGTGTCCCAGAGATTCTGGTATGTTGTGCCTTCATTCTCATTGGTTTCAAATAACTTACTTATTTCTGCCTTAATTTTGTTATTTACCCAGTTGTCATTCAGGCGCAGGTTGTTCAGCTTTCATGTAGTTGTACGGTTTTGAATGAGTTTCTTAATCCTGAGTTCTAATTTAATTGCACTGTAGTCTGAGACTGTTTGTTATAATTTCCAATCTTTTCCACTTCTGAGGAGTGTTTTACTTCCAATGGTCGATTTTAGAATAAGTGCTATGTGGTGCTGAGAAGAATACATTCTGTTGATTTGGGGTGGAAAGTTCTGTAGATGTCCATTAGGTCTGCTTGGTCCAGAGCTGAGTTCAATTTCTGAATATCCTTGTTAATTTTCTGTCTTATTGATCTGTCTAAGATTGACAGTGGGGTGTTAAATTCTCCCACTATTAATGTGTGGGAGTCTAAGTCTCTGTATGTCTCTAAGAATCTGCTTTATGAATCTGGGTGCTCCTGTATTGGGTGCATATGTATTTAGGATAGTTCGCTCTTCTTGTTGATCTTTTCACCATTATGCAATACCCTTCTTTGTCTTTTTGTTGTTGTTGTTGTTGGTTTAAAGTCTATTGTTTCAGAAACTAGAATTGCAACCCCTGCTTTATTTTGCTTTCCATTTCTTGGTAAATTTTCCTCCATCCCTTTATTTTGAGTCTATGTGTGTCTTTGCATGTGACATGGTATCCTGAATACAGCAAACTGATGGGTCTTGATTCTTTTTTTTTTTTTTTTGAGACGGAGTTTTGCTCTTGTTACCCAGGCTGGAGTGCAATGGTGCGATCTCGGCTCACCGCAACCTCCGCCTCCTGGGTTCAGGCAATTCTCCTGCCTCAGCCTCCTGAGTAGCTGGGATTACAGGCACGCGCCACCATGCCCAGCTAATTTTTTGTATTTTTAGTAGAGACGGGGTTTCACCATGTTGACCAGGATGGTCTCGATCTCTTGACCTCGTGATCCACCCGCCTCGGCCTCCCAAAGTGCTGGGATTACAGGCTTGAGCCACCGCGCCCAGCCGGTCTTGATTCTTTACTCAATTTGTCAGTCTGTGGCTTTTAATTGTGGTATTTAGCCTATTTACATTTAAGGTTAATAATGTTATGTGTGAATTTGATCCTGTCATAATGATGCTAGCTGGTTATTTTGCCCATTAGTTGATGTAGTTGCTTCATAGTTTTGATGGTATTTACATTTTGGTTTGTTTTTGCAGTGGCTTGTGCTGGTTTTTCCTTTTCACATAGTGCTTCCTTCATGAGCTCTTGTAAGGCAAGCCTGGTGGTGACAAAATCCCTCATCATTTGCATGTCTATAAAGGATTTTATTATTTCTCCTTCATTTATGAAGCTTAGTTTGGCTGGATATGAAATTCTGGGTTAAAAATTCTTTCCTTTAAGAATGTTGAATATTGGACTCCAGTCTTCCATCTTGTAGGGTTTCTCTGCTAAGAGATCCACTATTAGTGTGATGGGCTTCCCTTTGTGGGTAACCCGACCTTTCTTTCTGGCTGCCTTTCACATTTTTTCCTTCATTTCAACCTTGGTGAATCATATGTCTTAGAGTTGCTCTTCTTGAGGAGTATCTTTGCGGCGTTCACTGTATTTCCTGAATTTGAATGTTTGCATGTCTTGCTAAGTTGGAGAAATTCTCCTGGATAATATTCTGAAGTATGTTTTCCAACTTGGTTCCATTCTCCCCATCACTTTCCGGTACACAAATCAAACGTAGGTTCAGTCTTTTCACATATTCCCACATTTCTTGGAGGCTTTGTTCATTCCTTTTCATTCTTTTTTCTTCAATCTTATCTTCATGCTTTATTCCATTAAGCTGATCTTCAATCTCTGATATCCTTTCTTCTGCTTGATTGATTCAGCTATTGATACTTGTGTATGCTTCACAAAGTTCTTGTGCTGTTTTTCAGTTCCATCAGGTTATTTATGTTCTTCACTAAACTGGTTATGCTATTTAGCAATTCCTCTAACCTTTAATTAAGGTTTTTAGCTTTCTTGCAGTGGGTTACAACATGCTACTTTAGCTCAAAGGAGTTTGTTATTACCCACCTTCTGAGGCCTACTTCTGTCAATTCATCAAATTCATTCTCTGTCCAATTTGGTTCCCTTGCTGACAACGAGTTGTGATCCTTTGGAGGAGAAGAGGCATTATGGTTTTTGGAATTTGCAGCCTTTTTGGGCTGATTTTTCCTTATCTTCATGGAGTTATCTACCTTTGGCCTTTGTTGTTGCTGACCTTTGGATGGAGTTTTTGCGTGGTTGTCCTTTTGATGTTGATGTTAATGCTTTTTGTTTGTTTTTCTTCTAACAGTCAGGCCCCTCTTCTGCAGGACTGCTGGAGTTTGCTGGGAGTCCACTACAGACTCTGTTTGCCTGGGTATCACCAGTGGAGGCAGCAGAACAGCAAAGATTGCTGCCTGCTTCTTCCTCTGGAAGCTTTGTCCCAGAGGGGCACCCACCATATGCCAGCTGGAGCTCTCCTGTATAAGATGTCTGTTGACCCTGCTGGGATATGTCTCCCTGTCAGAAGGCATGGAGGTCAGGGACCCATTTGAGGAGGCAGTCTGTCCTTTTGCAGAACTTGAGCACTGTGCTGGAGATCTGATGCTCTCTCCAGAGCCAGCAGGCAGGAACATTGAAGTCTGCTGAAGTTGCACCCACATCTGCCCCTTCCCCCAGGTGCTCTGTCCCAAGGAGATGTGAGTTTTCTCTTTAAGCTCCTGACTGGGGCTGCTGCTTTTCTTTCAGAGATGCCCTGTCCAGAAAGGAGGAATCCAGAGAGGCAGTCTGGCTACAATGGTTTTGTGTTGCTGCAGTAGGCGCTGCCCAGTCTGAACTTCCCAGCAGCTTTGTTTACACTGTGAGGGGAAAACCACCTACTCAAACCTCAGTAATGGCAGTGGCCCTCCCCCCATCAAGCTCAATCATCTCAGATTGAGTATAGACTGCTGTACTGGCAGCGAGGATTTCAAGCCAGTGGATCTTAGCTTGCTGGATTTGGTATGGGTGGGATCCACTGAACAAGACCACTTGGCTCCCTGGCTTCAAACCCCTTTCCAAGGGAGTGAATAGTTCTGTCTTGCTGGTGTTCCAGGCGCCACTGAGGTATGAAAAAAACTCCTGCGGCTAGCTCATTGTCTGCCCAGATGGCCGCTCACTTTTGTGCCTGAAACCCAGGGCCCTTTTGGTGTAGGCATCAGAGGGAATCTCCTGGCCTGTGGGTTGTGAAGACCATGGGAAAAGTATAGTATCTGGGCTGGAGTGCTCCATCCCTCATGGCTTCCCGTGGCTACTGGAGGGAGTTCCCCAACCTCTTGCACTTACTGTCTCATCCCCCATGGGCTGCACGTACTGTCTAAGAAGTCCCATTGAGATGAACTGGGTACCTCAGTTGGAAATGCAGAAATCACCCACCTTCTGCATTGGTCTTGCTGGGAGCTGCAGACTGGAGCTGTTCCTATTTGGCCATCTTGCCTGAAAATTCCAGGCTTTTTTTTTTTTAATTGTGCAAGGCTGGGTAGCTCACTGCTGCTTGTTCAACATCCCAGCCTGAGCTCTGTTCCTTCTCTTACCCCACACACATTTCCAAGTGCCCTCTGTAAGAGCCACAATGTTATGCCACTCAAAAACACCGGCTGACTTGGAGGAAGCAGCCACTCTTTCAGATCACTGGGGAAGTAGCAGGACAACACAATTATCATGTAACAATCCAAGTTTCTAACTCATTGGTGAGGTGAAACTGCAGCACAATGATGAAAGGTCTTTTTATGAATGATAATGGGAAAGATTTAAAAAGGTGTTAAAAGATTTTTTTTTAAAAAAAAAGGAAAATAGGGTAATAAAACACAGAAGAAACTTTTGGAAAGGAAATGAAATTGAGGAAGGGGAAACTAAGGAAAGAAAACACAGGAAAAAATAAGAAAGCAACACAAAAGACAAACATTTGAAGGTCAGGTTACTGATGGGAGACTTTGCTGGCATTCTGGTGCCTGACTGAAGGTGAGGGCTAGGTTTCCTGTAACTACACCTGCCTCTGCAAAACACACAATAACTGAGAAGCCAGAAAGAAAATACAGTGAGCAAAATCAATATTACTTTGTGATTAAACAAAGAATAAGATAGTTATTGAACTTGACAGATACCTTTTCTTCTAAGTCCTTTATTTGTCTTTTCTGGATGTCTGTTTTATCTTCTAAGTCACGAATTCTCTGAAGAAAGAAAAAAGAGAAAGCATCAGTGGGTGTTCAGTTGTGTGAAAAAAATCATTCACCAAACTAAAACACGAAACTCCCTATGCAAACATGAATATTTGTACAAGCAGCTGGAAATATCACATGTATGTTTTTCCCTACCCAAAACTGTGTTGTATGTTGCATAAATTATCTATGCTTCTGGTAAAAATCATTATTATTGATTATCTTTTCAAAAAATATTTGCCACCCTTTCGACTGGGCCTACCGCTGTAGACCCCTTCCTAGTGAGGTATAGGTCCCACCCCACTGGCACTGGGTTTGGCAAACAGACTTGTTTTGGCCAGTGGAATGTGAGTTGGTATAGGATGTGGGAATATCAAATTCTTGTAGAGGGGGCAGTACGTCCCAGAACTAGAGAGCAAGAAATAAGCTTTGTTAGGATCCATTTGGATTGAGATTTTGGTTGTTTCTTTCCACATTAAAGACAGCTGAGGCTGAATCACATAGATGTAAACAATCTAATAGTTCTTTCTTAACCTTTTTTCCTAACCCAATTTCAACCCTGGTTTAAGATAGAATTTTCTCACAAAACGGAATTGGTCAATTCTCATAAAACAAAGTAGAGGTTACACATCAACAAACATTCCCAGGCGGGAACTGATAAATTAGGGAAAAAACAGAAGAGCATACCAAACATAACACAAGCCATCCTAAAAACTGTCTTTAAACTTACCTCTCAATTATGTAACCAAATTCCACTAATTTAAACACTGAAGACTTGAAATCAACATTACATAACAATTATTTACAAGTAAAATTAAGTCTTCACATTTATATCAGCAGTCTAAAGGCTTTTGGTGCTCATGTACATGGTTATACCATGCAGGCTTCTGATTTAATACCTCTGTTGGGAATAATTAGAAAATAGAGAAATGGAGTCCATGAAAAAAACACTAGAAGCCAAATGGGATGATAATATAGAAAGAGAGGTTTTTATAATGCAATAGTAGGAGAATAAAAAGGCACTTAGAACAAAGGATACTTGAACTTGGAAATCATGTCTCCTTCTCTTTAAAACAGTGGATCTCAACTATTTATTTCTTCCTGACCCCACCAGGGACATTTGGCAGTTCTGCATATTTTTTTTTCAGGTTAATTTCTGTGTTTATTTATTTTAAGTTGTGTAATTCAGTGGCTAATTTAGTATATTCACAAAATTGTGCAGCCATCACCACTATCTAAATATGTTGACACTTTTGCATTGTCACGACTGGGAGTGTGTGCATCTAGCATCTACCGAGTAGAAGCCAGGAATGCTACTAAACACCCTGGAAGGCACAGAACAGCCACCTCTCCCCCTGAAAAAGAAAAAAGAATTATCTGCTTCAAAATTTCAGTAGTGCTGAGATTGAGAAACTCTGCTTTAAAGTAAGGGAGCTAAGGTTTGTGCAACAAGAGATGGTATGTTTTGGTCAGAGTGAGAACATAAAGGTTAACCTTGAAATTATGCCATCAAGAATGCTGGAGAAAGGATGGGACTGGAATGTTGATGGTATGTGTATACATGTGTGATGTGTGTGCTAGTGTATAGTTCCATAGTGCTGTCAATGCTCCATAGCTACACAGTAAAGAATACATTTGCTAGATATTTCCACCTTGAGTGTGCAAGTAATTTCTTGGCATGTCTGCTGGATGTGGAGGCAAGTAGTATATGGAAAAAATCATGAATATGTAAAATTACTGCAGTATCTATTCCTCTGTCACATCTATGCTTGTTGGGCACCTCCTTACATGCTCATGACTGTGCTGAATGTAATGTACAATCCAAATAAGGTACCAATTAGTTCCCGATTTGAAAGAACCATCAGATCCAGATGGGATGACAAAATTAAACAGTAAAGGAAAACAATGGGAAAAGCTGAATAACTTTACCACCCATCTCCAATTCCTAGTACAGTGTTTACCATGAAGAAGCTGTCCATACATATTTTTTAGTTAAGTAAATGTGTTACGCTACATCATATAATGTATGCTTGATTTCTTTTTGCTTCCCCTCCCTTTGCCATCCATCCAACAAGCTTGTTGGACTCAAACATTCCTTTTCTACCACTTCTTTTTATCTCTACTGCTACCGAGTTCACCAAGTCATTGTCTTCCCTCATCAGGACTGGGTGGCACCTTCTACTTGCTCTTCCTGCCTCTTATTTTGACCAGCCTACATCATCTATAGCAGGCATTGTGAACTCTCAGAATGTAAAAATGATCTCCGTGGTTCCCTGAGTTTAAGCAGGTGAGAAGGAAAGAAGGAAGAGTTAGCTGAGTGGTACTCATAATACAACACAAACTCCTGCAAGGCCCCATGTGATGTGGCCCTTTATTAGGTCTTCAGCGTCACCTCCTATCAATCTCACCCTGGCTCTGTGTGCTCCTGACATTCTAGACTTTGCTCTGTTCCTTGACTATTCCAAACTTATTCCCGTGATAGGAACTTCTTGTCCCTGTCTTCTGGGACACTTGGCCAAGATCTTTGTGTGGCTCATTTCTTGGATCTTAGGTATCTTCAGAGAGGCCTTCTCTGACCAGCCAGCCTAAAGTGGCCAATCCTACTCCAAACCTCACACACAAATTGTATACGTCTCTGCATAGCACTTACTGGCACTCTCAGAAATTGCCTCAGTCATTGTTCATTCGTGCTGTGGCTCTGTCCTTGTCCCTCTGTGAGATAGATGAGTGTAGTGATCTGTATGTCATTGCTTACCGTCACACTCCCAACACCTGGTACACAGCAGGCCCTCAATAAATGGTTGTGAATGAGTGCATAACAAAATATAGAAGGTAGATTTCTTGAGCAGTATGTGGTTCATTTTTCAATTTTCATCAGGGAGAAGATCATGAATGGGTTAGACCTTAAACTGGGACTGGAGAAATGAGAACACTTGGACCAATTGCAACGGAAACTAAAGGATACTTTAAGGTGAACAATCATGCAAACAAAGGCTTAGAGGTGGAAAATCACAGTGCAATTGGGACCAGGACATTTTTAATGAGTGGAGAAGAAAGTATGCTCTGGGGTTGGGTCAAATCTGGTTTTTGTGGGAGGGGTACTCAGCTACTGAAGGACCTGAAGAGACCTGTGTAAGACTCAACTCAACTGGAAATTGGGATCATGGAGGATTTGGGGCAACAATGTACCATGAGGAAAAGTAAGGTCTGTGGTGAGACGTGTGGTGGATTGAAAAGAGGAGATCTAGAACTAGGTCCCCATGGTACCTGCATGTGCTTTTTAAAATGCCATTTATTATGATATATCATAATCATTTTTCTTTGTGTGAATCTTTTTTATGTCCATTTATGGGTCCTACATTTTGTGAAGGCAGGGTCCACAGTGAATTCTCTATGTCTAACATGGTATCTAGCACCAAGGAAACATTTAAAGGTTTGACTGAATAGATGCGTAGATGGTGGAGTCAAATTCACATAAGAACATTTGGCAGTACCTGGAAGCTGGTGCAATAATGAAAAGTCCTGCACATTCCTGGGGTGACAAGTATGAACAGAATGGACCAGTATCAAAAACATTTCAGGGGAAATTCCAGTTTAATGTGGTGCTATATTAGTCCTTACAGGGAAAGAACAGAGAAGACTCCAGTGTTTCTAGCTGGGGTGATTTGAGATATGGTAATTCTACTGACTAAGACAGGCAGATGGGGAGAGAGAAGAGAAGCAAAGATAAGAACGCATGAGTTAACTCTTAAACATTCAAGCAGAAGTGTCTAATAAATGGTTAGTGATATACTTTAGAAGTTAGAATGTATTACTTAGTTATATATGAAAGGGCCTGGCCAGCCGGGCGCGGTGGCTCAAGCCTGTAATCCCAGCACTTTGGGAGGCCGAGGCGGGTGGATCACGAGGTCGAGAGATCGAGACCATCCTGGTCAACATGGTGAAACCCCGTCTCTACTAAAAGTGCAAAAAATCAGCTGGGCATGGTGGCGCGTGCCTGTAATCCCAGCTACTCAGGAGGCTGAGGCAGGAGAATTGCCTGAACCCAGGAGGCGGAGGTTGCGGTGAGCCGAGATCGCTCCATTGCACTCCAGCCTGGGTAACAAGAGCGAAACTCTGTCTCAAAAAAAAAAAAAAAAAAAAAAAAGGTCCTGGCCAATATTTTCTGGAATAATTCTATGAAACTCAGCTATTGATTAAAAGGGAAGAAGAAGAGTAAGAAATAACTTGGAAAGGCATATGCTAATGAGCATTTGTTTAGGGGAAGGATGGAAAATGTCAATGAAAACTGAGGTTCAGAAATGTAGTGTACTATTGGCAATACTGGATAACTTAAACAAAACCAACCCGTTCAGGAGTGAAGTATCTTAAATAAATGGTTAAAGAAACACTCAAATAGAATAAAGTTTTTATCATAAATAAATTTAGATAACAATTAGTCCATCTTAAAAGAGGACACTTCTGTGTTTCCATGACATAACTTCCAATTTGTTGGAAGTAATTATATGCTATTGCAGCACAAGAAATTTGTACAGAGGACACTTTGTCCCCTGCTAGAAGAAAAGAATGCATGAAGTAATGCAATGATGCCATAGAGTCTATTATTAAAGACTGTAAGAAGTCTTTCCAAGAGTCAAAATACAACCTTTGTGATGGAATCTGAAGGAGCATTAATAGGAACATGTATGTATTTAACATCTCTGGGACACATGGCTTCAGAATTCTCTGCCTACTTGGGTAATCTGTTAGCCTGTAAAATCCACAAAGCTCCTGGCTGCGTCTGAAGTGTGCTAAGTGTCATGTCCCCCATGAATTGTTTTTATTGGCATTATAGAAGAACCCCTGCTTCTTTTCCACTCACCTTGATCACTGATGACCACATGATTCTTACTGCCTATACATACCACCTGGATTTTGTACCAGTTGCTTCTTACAGCTTCTGAGGATTGAATACTTATAACCTAACACTTGTAATTCTGGAATCCTTATGGAATCTGTCTCAGCCCTCAACAGACAAGCTATGGCACGAATAAAGAGTTGCAATTAAAAATTTTAGCTGGAAATTAGTATTGGGTGCCTATATTGAGTCTTGCTGGACTAGATGAATCATGTAAGTCATAGTCAGTATAGTACAGTGGTTAGACACACTGGCCTTGGAGTCCAGCAGATCTAGGCTGTTATCCTGATTGTTGCTTGCCATCTGGGATGTCTTGGGAAAATCATTTAGGCATTCTTATCTTCAGTATTGTTATCTCCAAAATTGAGATAAAAAAATACTTACCTCATAGGGCTACTATGAAGATGAAATGAAATAATGTAAGTAGAACCCTTAGTTACTGACACACAGCAAATGTCCGTAAGTAAATGGCAGCTGCCAGGCTTTGTTGGTGGTGAGGTTTGTAATGTGAACGGCCCTTGTTCTCTTTTACACTATTCACATTATTTCATCAGGTTAGGCTGTGAACTGGAGTGAGCAATAAATGGGAAGCACTATTTTGGTCCTGGAATGTGTCCTGCGTCCCTGCATAAGTCAGATAATCAGACTCCAGGAAATTCAAAGGGCATTTCATGACAATGTAGTTCTAAAAATAGTAGCAGTATGCAATCCTTCTGAAAAGCCAATTTTCTCAAGAATGAATTATTGCAAAACTGTCATTTTGTGTGCGCATGAAGGTGGAAAACAATGGTTATTTATTGTAGTCTCTGAAAATAATTTGTATCTCCTGGGCTTCTCCATACCCTTACTCAATACAGTGTCCTTAGTACTAAGTCTCATTTGCTTAGTACTAACCCTACACAGAGACAGTGACTCAGTCCTCACCTGATGGGCTTGCTGTAAGAGCTCCATTCTTTCCTGAAGAATCTGACAGTCATACTCTCTGCTCTTCCTCAGCATTTGCCGCCGTAACTTTTCTACTGCCGTCCTCAGCTCCTCTTGCTGTTTTTCACTTAATAATTCACCAAACTTGATAACAGTTTCTTGCTGCAGAGCATTGTACAAAGTAGCTTCTAGTTCCTGGATTCTCTGGCAAATAGAATTAGAAAAATCTAACTTCGGAACTTGGCATTTATATGTGGTGTGGGAGTGTATGCTATGTATATATATGTGTATGGCTGTCAACTTTGGTCTTATAGGATCTTAGCAAGAAAATAATTTCAAAGCTTCTCTAGCCTAATTACACTTCTGAAAATCCCTTTTTATGAGATTCCGTAAGGCTCATCTAGCCAATCCATGAACTTCTCTAGTGAGGGAATATTTGTTCCTTCTTTGGACCCTGTTCAATCTATATACTTTCCCTTTTCAGAAAACCCTCACTTTGTTATAATAACTGTACTTCATATCCTAAAGTGTAGCTGAGAATAAGTGTGTTCTCACTTCTACTTGACAGCTCTGGCTGAGTGCGGTGGCTCAAGCCTGTAATCCCAGCACTTCGGGAGGCTGAGGTGGGCAGATCATCTGAGGTCAGGAGTTTGAAAACAGCCTGGCCAACATGGTGAAACCCCGTTTCTATTAAAAATACAAAAATGTAGCCAGGCATGGTGGCACACGCCTGTAATCCCAGCTACTCAGGAGGCTGAGGCAGGAGAATTGCTTGAACCCGGGAGGCGGATGTTGCAGTGAGCGCCATTGCACTCCGAACTGGGCAACAAGAGTGAAACTTCACCTCAAAAAAAAAAAAAAAAAAAAAAAAAGACAGCTCTTCAGATATTTAAAGCTATCTACCATGGTAGCCACACTTCTAGAAATAAATAGTCTAAGTTAGGACAAAATACTGAAATGGAGATATATTTTATGCACAAAATACTGCTCCTGTTCTATTAATACATGACAAACGTCTGGTACTTAAAGATGGCTTTATGGTCTCCATATTTTTTCTTGAAATAAAATTGAGAAATAAAATCCAAAAATGACCTGCAGTTTTGGAATTGGTCTGTTTTTAAATTCTCTGAGATTTATGGCTGCTCTCATTATAATATTTCTCTGAGTCTTTCTTTTTTGTAGATGAAGAATTTGCTACCTCTTATATCTGTTTCTTTCTTCTTTCTTTTTTGATAAGCTTTAGATAAAAGTTGCTATAATCTACAATCTTATCCTTTCTAAGTTTGACAGAAGTGACCTGACATGCTTTGGTGAGAGATAGTTTCCTAGCTCTTGTCCTGGGCTAAGCAGTTGTCATCTTTTTAAGGATAAATATGGTTTTCTGAATAAGTACTTAATAGTCTTGGGAGCCACATAAACCTACAACTTAATTTTGTACAGGTAGAAGAGGCAAGGGTGAAAGGTGGAAGTGAAGCAAAAATCACTTTCTTCTCTGTCTCTAGTTAGCAACGAATGCTCATTCTCTTCTTTCGCCATCAAACAATGCTCAGAATCTCTTATTCATTTTGGAATGCAAAGACAAGTTCATCTTTGTTACAAGCAGGGATTAAGTGCTTCACTCTATCCGCAAAGTTGACTCAGGCTGTTTCCAGGAAAGCATTATGAAAACCTCTGCTAGGAATTCTTTGAAATATTCCTCTAGTTTGCTCTTTTTCTTTTGATTCATAACCATGAATTAAGGGAGGGTGGAGCATAAGGAGAGAATAAATGTGAGTTGTAGTTCAGTATGAAGAATTGTGTAATAGGAATTTGGTAGAGAGGAATGGATCACATGTGCTCCTTACTCATCATAATCTGTGGGAGACAAAAAGGCACAGCCGATTTTCCATGGAAGCCTCAGTCGCTGTGGCTGGATTATAGTAGTTAAGGTCACAGGATCTGGAGTCAGATCTACACACTGCCCATTTATCAACTTGGGCAAAGTTCTTATATTCTCTAAATCTTACCGTCCTCATTTGTAAGATATGAATAATCATCTTGCCTATACCTCACAGGGTTGTTGTAAGAGATAAATGAATTAAAAATACTCATAACAAACATTAAATACATTATTATTCCACCACTAGATCAGACTCCTAAATGACTGTATTTCATTTAATAAAATTTCTCCTTAATTTACACTGCCATCCCATCTGTTCTTCCCTTAAATATTATCTAACAACTTACATTTAATTGTTTTTTATTTGTTTTGTTTGAGACAGGGTCTTGCTCTGTTACCCAGGCTGGAGTACAGTGGCACCATCACAGCTCAGTGCAGACTTGATCTCCCAGGCTCAATGGATCCTCCTTCCTCAGCCTCCTGAGTGGCTGCGACTACAAGGTGCATTCCACCATGCCTGGCTTATTTTTGTATTTTTTGTTTGTTTTTGGAGGTACAGGGTTTCACCACGTTGCTCATGCTGGTCTTGAACTCCTGGGTTCAAGGGATCTGCTCACCTTAGCTTCCCAAAAATCCTGAGATTATAGGCATTAGGCACCACGCCTGTCCTCTTAATTGTTAAAAAATGAAGTATAATTAACTATTTATTAGATATTATAAGAATATCATAAGAGCTACGAATGTCTTTCTTCTAATATTAGAACTCAAAACCATAAATAAATGAACTGTATGTTGTGATCTATTCAATTACCTAGCATAGAAAATTAAATAGGATACTTTGTTCCACAGTACATAACTGTAAATACTCTGTGTGTCTCTATCGCTCGTTGTACCTACCATATATGCTTGGTCAAGAGCTTGTTTTCTGTAGTCTAGTTCTTCCTCCAGATAGCCTTTTATTTTGCAGAATTGTTCCTGTAACAAAGGATCATATTGATAGAGCCAGCTTAGTTAATTAGAAAATGACATACAAAGTGTACTGATTAATGTTTTCTCTAATTCTACCATAAGACAAATCACTAGTATTTGTAGAGTCATAAATTTTATCTGTTAGGCAAATAATTCGATTATTGCAGTTTCACACAAGAAATGTGAAAATCAATGGAAAACAGCATAAAAGATACAATGAAAAATCCATGTAGAATGCGCTAAAAGGTTTTCAAACTGAGAGTATGTGATTAAGTATAGATTTTGACTAGTGTTTAATAATGTCTGTGTAAATATATTATAATAAATTTTTTTAAGAATGTGATAAAATGTAACACAGCCAGGTTGCATAGTAAACAAGTTTAACTTACTCAAATTCATGTGTGTACAATCAGCAAACACAAGGACAAAAATAGCAATTTAAAGAGTAGGAGTGATTCCACCCACACTGCCACTTAATGAGTGGGTGTCTGCTTTAGCTACAAAGCCAGTGTGGGCTGGGAAACGTAAATCCGATGCTCCCTCTCTTGTTCTCAGTTTCTATGTGTTTCTCATATTATGAGCATCTTGCCATTAGCACTTAAAACTGTATCTTTGTGTACCACATAGTCTCAAGCACAAGTCAATTGTCTCTTTTTTTTTATTTATAAAAAACTTAAATTTAATTTACTTTTTTATTTTAAAGACGGGGTTTCACCATGTTGGTCAGGCAGGTCTTGAACTCCCAACCTCAGGTGATCTGCCCGCCTTGGCCTCCAAAGTGCTTGGATTACAGGTGTGAGCCACCGCGCCCGGCTGCATCAATTGTCTCTTTGGGTGCTTAACTGAAGGAACAAAGACCTCTTCCAACTCTGAAGAAAATCTCAATAGTGTTGACTTTTGAGAGAACATGTATCTGTATGCAGTAATCTTGGTGTTGACGTTGCTGGTGATTGCTGAATTCCAGCACTAGAACAGTGCCTGATACAGGCTAATTGTTCAATTAATATTTGTGCATTTAAAGAGCTTTTAAGGGTAATTTTGGAAACAAAGTGCTCATTTGGAAATCTTTTTTGGCCAAATATAAAAATCAAATAAAATAACAAACTGTTCTTTTTATATGCTTTGACATTAGAGCCTAATCTCTCAGTAAAATGTAAGCACTGTATAAAATATAAGCAAATGATTTATAAACTATAATATGCTACACAAATGCAAGCTGTTTTTTTTTTTTTTTTTTTTTTTTTAGGATTCCTTGACCCAATAGTAATTCACTCGTGTTTTCTAGTTAATGATAACATTAATGATATCTTGTTATACATTTATTTCTTCTTTTTTGAGATGGAGATATGCTCTTTTTGCCCAGGCTGGAGTGCAATAGTGTGATCTCAGCTCGCTGCAACTTCCATCTCCTGAGTTCAAGTGATTCTCCTGCCTCAGCCTCCTGACTAGCGATTACTGGCATGCATTACCACGCCCTGTAATTCTGTATTTTTAGTAGAGATGGGGTTTCTCCATGTTGGTCAGGCTGGTCTGAAACTCCTCAAGTGATCTGCCCGCCTCAGCCTCCCAGAATGCTGGGATTACAGGTGTGAGCCACTGTGCCCAGCTGAATCTTGTTATAAATTTCTATGCATTGCGGTAAGTTAACACTAACCAATTTTTAGACTTGGTGAGTGAAAGGAAACTTGCTGAATTGTGGTAAAATGCACGTAACATTTACAACCTTACTCATTTTTAACCCGGTTTTAAGTGTACAATTCAGAAGTACAAAGTGTATTCACATTGTTATGCAACCAATGTACAGCATTTATCATGTTGCAAAACTGAAACTATACGAATTAAACAACAGCGCTATGTTTCCTCTTCTCACCTCCTGGCAACCACAGTCTACTGTCTGTTTCTAAGTTTGATTAATCTAGAACCTCACATGAGTGAATTCATATAGTATTTATCATTCTGTGACTAGCTTATTTTACTTAACATAGTATCCTGAAAGTACATCCATATTGTAACCTGTATCAAAACTTCCATCTTTTTGAAGGCTAAATAATATTCCATGATATGTATACTGTACCTTTTGTTGATCTGTTCACCTATTGATGGACATTTGTGTTACTTCTACCTTTTGGCTATTGTGAATACTGTTGCTATGAACATGGTGTATAAGTATCTCTTCCAGACTCTGGTTTCAATTCTTTTGGATACACACCCAGAAGTGTGATTGCTGAACCATATAGTAATTCTATTTTGATTTTTTTTGAGCAATCACCATACTATTTTTCATAGTAGATATGCAAGTTTTGCATTCCCATCAATAGTGAAGAAGGGGTTGAATTTCCCTTTCTCTTTGCCAATACTTGTTTTATCTTTTTGATTTTGGGAACACAGAGTCTTCCTCTGTTGTCCAGGCTGGAATGCAGTGATACGAAAATAGCTCACTGCAGCCTCCCTGTCCTGGGCTCAAATGATCCTATTGCCTCACTGCACCCGCCACCCACGCCTCACCGAGTAGCTGGGACCACACATACTTACCATTATGCCTGCTAATTATTTTTTGGGTTTTGCAGAGATGGGTTCTCACTATGTTGCCCAGGCTGGGCTCAAACTCTTGCGTTCAAGCACTCTTCCTGCCTTAACGTCCCAAACTGCTGGGCTTTTTTCTAGTTTTTTTTTTTTTTTTTTTTTTTTTTTTTTTTTTTTTTTAGCTATTCTAATGGATGTAAGGTGGCTTAGGGATTTTTAAAATCAGAGTTACACCCTCTATTTCTGTGGTTTTTATTTGTTAATTAAATACAGTGGAAAAATTACTTAGCCTAAGAAAGAAAACATACGAAAATTCAATTTTCTTCAGCATTAGTTTTGGATATTTTTTTGAAAAGCTAACACTTTTGGGGGAGAATATAGCTTGAAATTGCTTGGTACTCCTGGTAATTCTTTTCCATGATCTGTACATAAAATAATGGAAAGATGACAAACTTTCATCAGTGTCAGATAAAACTGGTAGAGGCAATGTTAATTTTCATTTTGCCTTGTAAACTTTTCTTAATTTTTACAATACCTCATCTTTTTTTTTTTTTTTTTGAGACGGAGTTTCGCTCTTGTTACCCAGGCTGGAGTGCAATGGCTCACCGCAACCTCCGCCTCCTGGGTTCAGACAATTCTCCTGCCTCAGCCTCCTGAGTAGCTGGGATTACAGGCACGCGCCACCATGCCCAGCTAATTTTTTGTATTTTTAGTAGAGATGGGGTTTCACCATGTTGACCAGGATGGTCTCGATCTCTTGACCTCGTGATCCACCCGCCTCGGCCTCCCAAAGTGCTGGGATTACAGGCGTGAGCCACCGCGCCCGACTACAATACGTCATCTTTGTACTTACCATGTCACTTTCCAGTTCCATCATTTTCTGGTGTAGGGCAGCCTCCGCTCCTTCAATCTGCTGGATCCACTAAGGAGTTAACAAGACAAAAGTGTTTGGCATGACTGATTGACACGGTGTATATCTGTGTGCCCCCCTGAGATGCTCAGTCCCTTCCCCTTGTATCTCAGGCAGCAGACTGAGAACTGAATCAAAAACAACACATTTTTATTTCATAGTTCAGAAGCAGACTACGGTCTTCCTTGTATTCATCCATTCACCCATTCAACGAATGCATTTATGGATGACTGGCAAGTATCAGGTGCTGTACCAAGTCCTAGGGCTGCAATGGTGAACAAGAGCAACAAGACTTCTGCCCCTACTGGAGAATACCATGGGAGTCTTTCTCGTAAGTGTTAATTGCACCAGGGTCCAAAGAATGGGGAAAGGACTGGGAAAAAATGAAGCAGTTCCAAGTAGAAGGGACATCATGTCCGTTAGCTCTGTTGTTGCAGGAAGCAGGATTAGAGAAAGAAGGCCAGGTACACTGGAGAATTGGGACAATGGGAATTTTTCAGTACATAAAAATGATTACAGGCTGGGTGTAGTGGCTCATGCCTGTAATCCTAGCATTTTGGGAGGCCAAGGTGAGTGGATCACAAGGTCAAGAGACTGAGGCCATCCTGGCCAACATGGTGAAGCACTGTATCTACTAAAAAATACAAAAATTAGCTGGGAATGGTAGCACACGCTTGTAGTCTCAGCTACTCAGGAGGCTGAGGCAGGAGAATTGCTTGAACCCAGGAGGTGGAGGTTGCAGTGAGCTGAGATTGTGCCACTGCACTCTAGTCTGGTGACAAAGTGAGACTTTGTCTCAAAAAACAAAACAAAACAAAACAAAACAAAAACCTGATTACAGCAGAGTGGGGAGGAATTATTTTTGTTAAGTGGAGGTATTATAAATCACATAAAAACTTATCTTTCCCAGTATCCAGAATATATATTTATGTTAGCATTGATAAACACCCTGAATGCAGACTTCGAATAATATGAAGTGACCTTACCATAAACATTTTTAAACAGAAAAAATTATTATAATGAATCTCTATCAAGTTAAATGCCAGCTTATATTTTAGGGAAGCAATTGGGCATAATAAGTAAGTAAGTAGGTTCTAAAGGCAGACTACCTTGGCCATAATTTCAGTTCTAGCTTTTCATGGGTGGGTGGCATAGAAAGGTTACCTGATTTCTCTAAGTCTCAAGTTTCTTGTGTGTCAAAAAAGATTAATAATAATGTAAATATTAAGGAAATAAATAACATGAGTCACTATCCATCGTGTATTGCATGTACTAGTGATATCTCACTACCATGTATTTCTTTTTTCTTTTTCTTTCTTTTTTTGAGATAGAGTCTTGCTCTGTTGCCCAAACTGGAGTGCAATGGCACGATCTCCGCTCACTGCAACCTCGGCCTCCCAGGTTCAAGTGATTCTCCTGTCTCAGCCTCCTGAGTAGCTGGGATTATAGGTGCACACCACCATGCCTCGCTACTTTCTTTGTATTTTTAGTAGAGACGAGGTTTCATTGTGTCCCCCAGGCTGGTCTCAAACTCCTGAGCTCAGGCAATCCACCTGCTTTGACCGCCCAAAGTGCCAGGATTACAGGTGTGAGGCACTGCACCCGGCCCCAGACATTTTTTTTTTTTTTTTAGTTTACCTGTGATAAATTATGCAGCGCAGTGAGCATTTCTCCATGCATTGCAGCCTTGATACTTACAAGGGGATGCCATGTTCAACCACTCTTTGGCTGTGGGGAACATGGTGAAAGAAAAAAAAGCATGCTGAGACTGGAGAGGTGCTAATCCCTCAGTTCTTTGTGCAGACACATAGCTTCCCCTTGAAATAAATTGCAGCCAGTCATGGGTATTGTGTAAATAGACTCATATTGCAATTGTATCCATCCAAAATCCTTCATCTTGCTTGCTGCCCATTTGTTGTCAAAAAACGTATTTTTAAAAATTAGCCGGGCGCGGTGGCTCACGCCTGTAATCCCAGCACTTTGGGAGGCCGAGGCGGGTGGATCATGAGGTCAAGAGATCGAGACCATCCTGGTCAACATGGTGAAACCCCGTCTCTACTAAAAATACAAAAAGTTAGCTGGGCATGGTGGTGCGTGCCTGTAATCCCAGCTACTCAGGAGGCTGAGGCAGGAGAATTGCCTGAACCCAGGAGGCGGAGGTTGCGGTGAGCCGAGATCGCGCCATTGCACTCCAGCCTGGGTAACAAGAGCGAAACTCCGTCTCAAAAAAAAAAAAAAAAAAAAAATTATGTTTTTGTACTGTGAACTAAAGTCATTAAATCATGAGCATTACATACAGATTTGTTTGTTGGTTGCTGTTCCTTCCTACTTGTGTAATCCAGGACAAGTCACTGAATATCCCAAGCCTTGGTTTCCTCATGTAGAAAATAAAAACAATCGTACTTCAATGTACATTATTTGGGTGGTGGATACACTAAGAGCCAAGACTTCACCACTACACAATGTATCTTTGCAATAAAAGTACACTTGTACTCCTTAAATTTATACAAATTAAAAAACGGTGGTACCTGTAGAATGGTTGTAAGGAACGGTGGTGGGATAATGTATTTAACGGCATTTGGTGCAGTATCTAGCCCCAAATATATTCTTACTCAAGGTCACTGCCATTATTTTTAATGCAAAATGACATTTGGGTTTGCTTGTTGGAATTTTGTCTAGGCTCAAACTCTGACTAAAGATCATACTTGCATATAATAGAGTGCTGTTCATATTGATCATCTCAAAAATTCATTGTTGATGTTTGGAATTACTTGGAAGTAGAAACTAATTATCTGTAAATCCCACAGACTGGAGGTAACGCTAATCTGTGCATTGCAAAAGTCTGCACAAAAGGCAGTTGAACAGACCGTGAGCACTCCAGGGCAGACTTGCATCTCGTTCATCTGGTTTCTAGCTTTCTACCGCAAAGCTAAGTACAGCGTCATCACCCTGTATTTGTTCAACTGAAACTTATACCTGTCTTGCAAAAAAGGTAAGCAGAGGCATGGGCTAATTTGCCACAGCTCTGATAGCCCAGCTCCCATGGGGTCTATAAAGCCTATTTCCTGCAGGAAGGAGTTTGGTGCAAGAGTTAACATCATGGACTTTAGAACCAGACTACATGGGTATGAATCCTGACTCCATCAACTTCAAGCTCTGTGACCTTAGGCAGTTTCCTACCTTTTTTGTGCTTCGGATTCCTTGTGTGAAATAAAGGTCACAATAGTACCTGGTCTTCAGCAGTTAGACAGTGCCTATCTCAAAAGGAGCACAGCACAAATGTTGGTTCTGATTAGTACCGTTGTACTGCACCCACACAGGGCAGGGGGCAGAAGACATTTCTCCCATCAGTCTCCGTAAATGTGAGACACACAAGGCTATATCTCTTTTCTTTCACCTCCTCAGTGCTCATCTTCCATAGAATCAGCCTATGTTTTGTAGGTAGTCCTAAACCAAGGAGATTTTTTCTTTCAGTAAAGAACTGTGGCCCTTCATGATTCCAACTGCATGAGGCTCTCTGGCTGTCATGGCCAGATAATAGCAGCACCGGGGGCACGGACTGTTTCTTTCATCGTTGTTGTCATTCAGTTGTCTGTGAGCATTCACGAATTCACTTTACTCCTTTGGTTAACATGTATTCATCACGTAGTATATGTGCTGGACTGGTGTGAATAGCTAGGGCAAAAAACAGGGGGTGGGGGAGTGGGGAGACACAACTATTTGCCCTCATGGGCCTTAGAGTCTAGTGGTAGTTAGATGGGGAGATATGACAAATGCAGTGGACAGTGCAATGCAATTGTTAAAAGCCACGGGAGCAGAAGCACAGGCCACTGTGGGAACATACAGTGGGAACACCTAAGGGGGCTTGGGTGAATAGTCAGGCTTCCTTACGTGTGGAAAGGTCTGATGATTAAGATTTAGGGCCAGGCGCAGTGGCTCACGCCTGTAATCCCAGCACTTTGGGAGGCCAAGGCGGGTGGATCACGAGGTCAAGAGATCGAGACCTGGTTAACATGGTGAAACCCCGTCTCTACTAAAAATACAAAAAATTAGCTGGGCATGGTGGCGCATGCCTGTAATCCCAGCTACTCAGGAGGCTGAGGCAGGAGAATTGCCTGAACCCAGGAGGTGGAGGTTGTGGTGAGTTGAGACCACGCCATTGTACTCCAGCCTGGGTAACAAGAGCGAAACTCGGTCTCAAAAAAAAAAAAAAAAAAAAAAAAAACCAGAAAGAAAAAAAAGAAAAGATTTAGCCAGGCAGAGGTAGAAAGGCAAGATGGGAATATCCTTCCAGGTAGAAAGAGCAGTGTAAAGGACCAAGAGTGGAGAATGGAGAGACAGAGAGAGAATGGAGAGAGAGAAAAGGGAGGGGAGACACTAGAGAAATAGATAGATAAGGCTCAAATCCCAGAGGATCTTTGTGCCAAATTCTAAATTTGGACCTTCTGTTAGAGATCATGCAGCATTATTAATTTGTTGGGGAAAGATTAGAGAAAGTGATCAGTTCTGTAATTAAATTGTAAAGGAAGTAAGTTTTTTTTAAAAGAAGAAATCCCAGCTTTCATGTTACTTCACATGTAAATACTTCAATATATATCTCTAACAGATAAGGCCTTTCTGTTTAAAAAAAAAAAAACCCACAAGGTTATTTGTATACTTTACAAAATCAACATTAATGACTTTTGTCATCTGATACCCAGTCCACATTAAATTTCTCCAGTTGTCAACAAAATGTTCTTTTTAAAAAACACCTGGTTTGCTTAAATTAGGATCCAAAAGAGAACCATTTCAATTATTCTTAAGTGTCTTTTTATTTCATAGCTATACTTCTTTGTTCTCCCTATTTTTTCTTTATGTCATTCTTTTGTTTGAGTAACTAAACCGTCATGTGACCTGTAGAAGTCCCTCATTTCAGATTGGATAAAGCTGACTGCGTGCTCTCATGTTATCCAAACCATGTGCACATGACTCTCAACAATTTACTGGTACTTTTTTTTTTTTCAAAGGAGATAGAGTCTCACTATGTTGCTCAGGCTGAAGTACAGTGGCTACTCACGGGCGTGATCACAGCACATTACAGTCCCAAACTCCTAGACTCAAGTGAGCCTCCTCCCTCAGCCTCCTAAGTAGCTAGAAATAAAGGCACATGCCACCCCACCAGGCTTTGTGCCTTGATTTGCAAAGTACTCTGAATAGACCAATTTATCTGGCCATTTACCAGGTTTAGACACAAGATGGAGCCAGAGCACACTCGGTGTTGATTTTCTCCTGACAGTCTGTCAAGCTTTCTGAATGAGACAGCAATGAGCCACTACTAAGCCACGGGATCAGTTGGAAGCAATTGGTATGTACACACTCGAGGAAAAGTCTATGACAAAGGCAATGCGCCAGTTTACCACCGCCCCACGAAACTCTCCCTTGTTGGCTTCCCAGCTTTGTAAGGATTGTGCAAATAATGTAATCCAGAACGTTTTCTGTTTTTAAAGAATTATACATATTTTTAAGGAATTTCAAAGCAAAAATTATTCACCCACCCCAAATCAGTGTACAGAGTTTTCTTTTGGGTGTTCTCATTTTATCTGGGTTGTACTACCCTTAAAAATAAAATGTGTATTACGTATTCGCACACAAAGTCATGTGCAGAGGGAATGCCCTTCACACCCTGTCATGCTCTTTCAGTATTAAGCCAGACTGAGATGATTTGAAATGTTTGTACAACTCATTACCTTCTCTGCCAGGGACAGCACAGTGCTGGCCTGAATGATAGCCACTTGTTCTTCATTTCTTAAATTCTGTAAAAAATAAGAAAGGTCATAAGCTGAAGATACTGATACTATTTTACCCTAAAGAAGATACTGTCTGACTGCCTGCCTCAGAACATAGGGTATAAGCCTGTATAGAACCTTAATAAATTCCTATTCAGTTAAGTAATAATTCTTAACAAAGAGATAATCAAAACCCGAAAGAAGTATATTAAATGTGATTTTAAAAAATATCTCCTTAACACCGACTTGATTCCATGTCACTGGAGGCATACTTTATTAATAGTCATGTTATGAGAAAAACAGAAACCAAAATGGAGTAAAGAACAGTCTCTTTGTAGTAGTTTTGATGTAATTTTACTAATTCTGTTCTCTCCTTTGATATTTTTTCAAGGGAAAAACAGCGACTCCTTCAACCTACAAGCACCATTCACCTAGTATCATAATAAATGGTCCTCCCACTGTCTTAATGTGCCTTGACTCTGTCTGGAAGGTGTTTTTAGAAAGAAAATGGATTATAGCTTTCTGGTCCATTTTTATGGAGCCTCCCACAACCCTGGTATTTGGCAGCATTTGCAAATGCATGACTGATTAATTTCACACTGGATGCCTTTGAGCCAGAGTCAGACAGTAATTAGCTTTAGTCACTAGAGATGTGGTCGGCATTCAAACCTGAAACCTGCCTGTGAAAAGCACTTTACCAGGTCTCATTTCTGCTAATACTTTCCAGAGATCCTTACGACCCTTTAGCCAAGTTGTTTGATAAACAAACAATTGTAGATTCTTCCCAAGGAGCAACATCCTTAAGTGAGCGTGGCATCTCACTTGCTCTGACTTTACACATGATGCATTGTTAAGTATTTCTTGCCTCTGTTTGGGAAATTCATATCTATCCTATGCTTAATCAATTCTTTACTTACCCCATTATCACCCAAGATATCAAGCTGCTTTATGAGATCAGGGATGTTCACATCCTGCAAAATCAAGCAGAAACTGATGTCAAAGACAAATGTGGCCTACTATCCCATCACTGCTTGAACACAAAGTTAGAGGAACACATTTTAGGGCCTGAGCTTCCTTGGCATGTTTTCAATCTGGCACACCTACTTTTAAGTTTCAGTTTTGCCTCTTACATGCTGTGTGAACTTGGGCCAGGTACCTAACAGATCATTCTTAATTTTGCTAGTTGCAAAATGGAGATAATGAATAGCTACTTCATAGGCTGAACTGATCTTCAGGATAAAGAGACTATGTATGAAAGAGTCTAGCATGTAGTAAGGACTTGGAATATTCTCATTAACATTCTTCTCATGACTGCCAAACCTCTTTTTTTTTTTCAATTATGATAACTTTCAGGTATAAAATAGTAATAGGTAATAAATATAAAGAATCAACCAATATCATTCTAATCAGCAAAATTCTGACCTGATTGAATTTTGACTGCCATGTAGAAAACTATAGTGCAGTCCCCCCGCTTTTTTAAGCTAGCTTGCATTGATTTCACCTGTTTTATTTTTACCCTGTTCCTGAGTCAGTCTGAAGCAGCTGAACTCCATTTGAAAGAGTTCACTGGGGGCCGGATGCGGTGGCTCACGCCTATAATCCCAGCACTTTGGGAGGCCGAGGCGGGTGGATCACGAGGTCAAGAGATCGAGACCATCCTGGTCAACATGGTGAAACCCCGTCTCTACTAAAAATACAAAAAATTAGCTGGGCATGGTGGTGCGTGCCTGTAATCCCAGCTACTCAGGAGGCTGAGGCAAGAGAATTGCCTGAACCCAGGAGGCGGAGGTTGCGGTGAGCCGAGATCGCGCCATTGCACTCCAGCCTGGGCAACAAGAGCGAAACTCCGTCTCAATAAATAAATAAATAAATAAATAAGGAAGAGTTCATTTGATTAAGCTGTTTGTGATTTATCTGAGAAAAAAAGCACCAAAGGAAAAGGCAAAGTAAATTGTTTTCATTTAATTACAGTGAAATTAAAAAAAAAAAATTGCTTTGGTTTACAAATTACCATGCTGCCCAGGAAGGCCAGAAATTTAAACACCAGGACAATGGTTTAAGATGGAAGACAAGGAAGCACAATTTTACTCCCCAAGTTCTTTCCCACTTTTTACCTTATTAGTACCACATTGTCCTCTTCATCATGTTCGAACAGCAGTACAGTAGAGCCCTACCGCCAGGAAAGTACTAGCTCAATCTCATGAGCAGAGAGTAAGCAATGGAAGCAAGTCTATTTGGCAGCTCAGAATGGGAGCAGGGAGGGCCATGCAGAAGGTAAGGAGAGACCAGAAATAGCAGGCAGCATCTCAGCTTTACCCAAGGAACAATATTCACAATGTGATTTTACTACGCTTAAGGACAATACATTTCCCCAGGGACAGAGCCACCTCAATTCAACTCTGATGTTTAAAATGTATCCAGTAGCACTAAAAAGAGAATTATATTCTATTTAATATGCAACCTGTTATAAACCCTAAGCCCTTCCAAAAGAGGAATCCTCCCTAAATTAAATGCATCAAAAGAGATGGTGGACTAGATGACTTCAGAGCCTCTTGTAACTTGGCAATTCAATGATTCTGAATTCCATAGCACACCTAGAATGGCTCCACAAAGGGAATCAAACTTTTTAATCTGGCACACTTGAAATGTATTTCTTGAAGCATTAAACTGATTTCACATTTCTCCCAGGTAATTAAGGCTAATTTTGATTCCACATTTTTATTTGTATGATGCTGTTCTAAATAATCATGGATGCCTGTGTTTTTTACTGTTATCATTTATACATCTGTCACCACATTAAAAAAATTCTATTAATTTTCTAGTAGATGTGACTATTTTCAATTACTACATAGTTTGTATCAAAATGATAACATCCAGTGACTAAAAGACAAAACAGTCATGAGCAACCTCCCCTTTTCCAATTCTCAGTTTTTCTAATTTCTAAAAACATAAAAAATTCAATATCTGCCTACCTTAACACCTTCTTTCATACAGTAGATCTGTAGAGCACTCACACCATCGGAGAACGGGTGAATTTGGAGATTAAATGGAGGGGATCGTCTCTCTCTCTCCTGAAATTCAGTGAAGAATATGTGGAAATTAAAAAAAAAAAACTGATTAAACACTAACCAGTGGTCTCTTTATGCTATTTCAACAGTTTGTTAATGTAATTTGGCAAAAAGAAAAAAAATTGAAACTCAAGATGTTCATGATTAAATGTAATGGAAAAAACTGACGAGTCAACTAAGAGACTGAGAAGAATTTACAGACGATGTCATCCATTCTTGCAAATTTTTTGATCAGGGAAACACAGGAAGTGGAGCTCCAGTTTATGTATGAATATTTAGAGGTTTCAAATATCCTACTGCGGTCTTGCCATGAAGTTTTATGGCCCCTAACAGCCTTTTGCATATTCAATCTATTCAAGCTTTAAAGTAAGATACGTGGGCGACAAAATAATGACTTTTCCTCACTGAAGCCTACTATCCCCTAACTTTATCCAGACCTAATTTGAAATAACCTCTAGAAGAAATAACTGGCAAAATAACAGAAGTCAAATGGGAGTTTTTCTTATACCTTTATATATCAACATACACTGAACCAGATCCTAGGTCAGATTTTGCAGGATACACTAAAAATCTCATGTTTCTATGTTTTACTTTCAAAATAAAAAGCAACACCTTTGAAATTCAGTCAGATTAACAAAGACATTTTCTAATATGACCTGAAGTTTGGTCTTTATTAATCTGACCTGAAATTTGGTCAGATTAATATTTCTAAGACGAGTTACCTTGATTCTTAGCCTTTTTTTTTTCCAGAAATGCATTAGAGACTAAAACATTTACTTATAAATTCACATTTACCTACAGAATATTTTAATATATAGCACATTTTGAAAAATAATTCTTAAGTAATGTGTATTAACGAGTCAAAATTCAATGAAAGATGGACATGAGTATTTAAAAACAATGAAATATTGAGGATGCTTGAAATCTATGATTTAACTTATTTTAAATTATTTATTAGTCTTGTTTATAAAGATAGTAGTGTAGAAATGCACAGTATCTAAGCAGACAGTTTGGAGTTGCATCAAGGCTTCACCACTTACTAGTTACAGGACTTAAGCAAATCACTTAATCTCAGTTGCCTCTGCTATGTCATTTTGAGGGTGATTGTGAGGTCCAATGAGAGTATGAATCTGAAATGCTTAACTCAGCCTCTAATTCCTCAATATGCTCAGTGCATGCTAATCATTATGATTATTTTTATTATCATCATCATCATCATTTCCTTACTTCTAGCTCTAGGTTTCGAAACTCCAGCAGCTCATTCTGGTCTCTGGCGTCCTGTAGTTCCTGTTGTAACCGGTGATTTTCTGCCTCCTGTTTTTCTATCTGATAAAGTAAATCCTGAAGTTAGGTAAGCATTGCAAAAGGCACCTACAACTTTGCAAAGCAAGCATGAATAGTGTTCGATTTATTCATTGAATAAGTCTTTCAGACCATGAAAAAAATTCCCAAGTAGATGTGAATAAAATAAGTCTTTGGCTTTCCTTCTAGTTATCCTTCAGTTGAGTTTTTGAGTCATAGAGAAAAATGCCAGAAGACATCTCTGTTCCTTGAAATTAAAATCTAGGAATTCTGTGAATAGTGAATCTGAGAATACTCATTTTGCCCTTGTGGTGGGTCAGAGACAGTCTACTGGAACCAAATTTAATGGTATACATAAGCGGGATGGATACTTTTCATTTCTTGAGTTATATTTGTTACAGAATTTTTTTTAAAAAAGCTCTCGTCATATACAAAACTTTGTTGAATTTCAATTACTACAGAAGAAAGCCAGCTCTTTAACACTGAATTCAAAAACTTTAATAATCAGATTACCACCTAGCTTTCCAGTTTAAAGTATTATCACTGTCATCGCTGTACAAACACACTCACACATGATCACGCAAACACTAGAATCTAGAAAATGTGGCCTACCCAATGAACTGACTGCTCCAGGAACTCTGTATCTATTCATCTCTGCCTGAAGATGACTTACCTCATCTCCTTTTCTATGTGAGAAAATTCGATACTTCTTTAAACACCTTAAAGCTAAGCTCTTAAACATAGAGCTTAAACAAGCTCTGCTATCTGTAGAGCCTTCCCTAGTCAACCCATTCAGAATTGACACCTCTCCTTTTATTTTCCTCTAGACTTTCTTTCTTTTCTTTCTTTCTTTCTTTCTTTCTTTTTTTTTTTTTTTTTTTTTTTTTTTTGAGATGGAGTCTCGCTCTTGTAGCCCAGGCTGGAGTCCAATGGCACGATCATGGCTCACTGTAACCTCCGCCTCCTAGGCTCAAGCAATTCTCCTGCCTCAGCCTCCCAAGTAGCTGGGATTACAGGTGCCCGCCACGATGTCTGGCTAATGTTTTGTATTTTTAGTAGAGATGGGGTTTCACCATTTTGGTCAGGCTGGTCTTGAACTCCTGACCTCAGGTGATCCACCCACCTCGACCTCCCAAAGTGCTGGGATTACAGGGGTGAGCCACTGCACCTGGCCTTCCTCTAGGCTTTCTTATAGGACCTCTTGTATAACTTGAGAAAGCATGGATTTCAGTTAGCTATGTACAAATTCACCTTCCCTTGTAGACAGGGTTCATGTCTGAGTCATCTTTCGATTTTAAGGGATCAGAAAATCTTTATGAGTACAGCGGATTTGGGCTTCCCTTCATATTAGCTGTGTGGGTGGGCATTACATACAGTAAATATTTAAAATCTTGAATTTAAAAATACAAACCCAGGGCCTTTTTAACATAGGATGAATCTTACTTTCCCAAATACATACATTTGAAGTTCAATATTTAGGTTCATTGTCATTTTTGCCATCCCTTTATTCTTAGAAGCCTGTGCTTAAAATTTCCCCTTTATCCCAAAGAGATTAAGATTAATGGAAATAAGATAGAAGACATAATGGGAATCTTTTTATTTTATGATAAAGCAATACCGTAACACTTGTATTTCTGGACATCTTTGAAACTATTAGGAAAAGGAAGGGAAGTAGTGAGAAATTATATGATATTAATTAATGTAGTCAAGTTTTCTACCCCTGATATTTGTGGCCTAGTAAACTTTCACAAGTTGGTAGAAGTTCACTTAGATTACAAAGGAGATTCTACTTTCTAGAATCTTCTACTGAATCAGTGGTGGAGTATTTGGGAAGATTGCTGGTTCTGGTGGAACAATTAGATCAGTGGTTTGCAGATTGTAATTCATAGACCAGGACCAATGTCAACAAAGTTTCTTTATAGGGCCCCTCAACCTTCCCGAAAACACCAGTTCTCAATTTTTGAATACCTGCCTACTCTGTATACGGCATATACATCACCTGTACATCGATGTGATGTACACATCAGCTCTGTCTCACAGCATGCAAAATATGAGATAGGATGTCTTCACTTTGCCACACTAGAGGGGAAGTAGGATAAGCATCTTTTTCTTCCTTCTCATGCTTACCAGCCAAGACATTATGGTTAATTTTTATTACTTGTCAAGGATAAGAAATATTCATAGAAACAATTCTAAAATAATTTCTGTATAACTTTGGATTGACCTACACAATTATTTTTCCCTTACACAATTGGGCTTTCAAATTCTTTGTCAAACATAATATAAGATTGTTTTGTAATTTAAATTAGCCAGGTTTGGTGGCACATGCCTGTAATCCCAGATACTTGGGAGGCTGAGGCAGGAGAATTGCTTGAACACAGGAGGTGGAGGTTGTGGTGAGCCGAGGTTGTGCCATCGCACTCTAGCCTGGGCAACAAGTGTGAAACTCCGTCTAAAAAAAAAATTATTTTGTAATATTTCACTAATTTGTAGAAGGTAAATGCCAAAGGAAAGCCACCTTTGAACTGAAAATGTGTTATGTTTAATTGCCCCTATGTTCAGATAACCAACATTAATGATATCTATTCAAGTCTAAACTATGTTTTAGTTTCTTAATTTGTTGAATAATTTCCTGGAATACTGTTTTGTGCTTTAAAAACAGTATTCATCTAAAAAAAATTCTTTCTTTAAAAAATAAAAAAAAGAAGAAAGGCCCAGGCTTAATAAAAAGACTAAAAGTGAGAATCTAAGTCTATGCGAGGTTTTGGCGTGGTCTTGGAGTCACACTATCACTTCTTCGCACAAAATAACAAATTCTGTTCATAGAGGATTTTTGTTTGTTTGTTTTTTGAGATGGAGTTTTGCTCTTGTTGCGCAAGTTGGAGTTCAATGGCGCAATCTCGGCTTACTGCAACCTCTGCCTCCCAGGTTCAAGTGATTTTCCTGCCTCAGCCTCCCAAGTACCTGGGATTACAAACATGCACCACCATACTCAGCTAATTTTTGTATTTAGTAGAGACAGGGTTTCATCATGTTGGTCAGGTTGGTCACAAATTTCTGACCTCAGGTAATCCACCCACCTCAGCCTCCCAAAGTGCTGGAATTACAGGCATGAGCCAGTGTGCCCGGCCCTCCTAGAGGTATTTTTTTTTTTTTTTGTAGACAAGCACACAGGATGTGTGTGTGTGTGTACGCGTGTGTGTGTGTGTGTGTGTGTGTGTGTGTGTGTGTGTGTGTCTGTGTTTACATATATACACAGTATATATATGTATGGTTAACAAATCAGGAGATTTCAGGGATCACATCCTTTCAAGTCTGCACAATGCCCAGCGCAGAGCCATGCACACATGCCACTTCACTGATGGTGATGGCGGTGACAGGGATGCAGTTGAGCACGCAGCCGAGGACAGAGCAGCACCAGAAAAGCCTCCCCTTCCCCTGGCCCCTGTGCCACTCCTGAGAGCACCCCCTGCTGCTCCTGGATCTCTCATGATTTTCTCCTTTGCCCCACTAGGGTGTTACGCCCAACATACCTTTTCTAAAAGCTCCTGGTTTCTCTTAATGAAAAGTTGTTTATCTTCTACCCAGTGTGAATCCTGTTTGACAAAGAATATCGCGCAGTCAGCATTTCAGAGTGGCACGAAAGAGCCTGTGTCGTCAAACCACTTTGCCAGAGCTGCCTTCTCCCCACCCTGTTTGTTTGCCTGCCAAAGACTGGTAAGTAGCACCCATCCCTGCCAGCTCCTTCAAAGACATTGAGACCAAAGTTGCCTGGAAACTTTAACTCCCTTTTCATCATCACTCCCTATGTCTACCTTTTCCAGTTTGAATAATCCAGGACCAGACTTCTGGGGACTCAGAAGTGACCACACAGGCAAAAAGTGAAAAGGGTCAGAATGCACACAGGCTAGATACGTATGGATGGAAAACATTAAAATGCAGAAATGTAGCGTAGAGGCAGAGAACGCAGCTGGGGGTTGGGTCTTGGTCTTAGCAGCTCATGACAACTCTAGGCTATTTGTACAGGACGCCTCTTCCTCTGGCATTCTCTCTCTTGCCCAGTCTCATTCACTGTTGTGGCTGGGTTCATACTCTGCCCAGAAAAACACCAGGGACAGAAATACAGAGTTGAGCATTCTAACACATTTTGAGAAAGATCACTGTGGAGAGCCAAGCTGTGTCCTGGATGCGGCCCATGCACAGGTAAGCTAGAGGAAGGTCAGATTAAATTGTCTGCATCTGCAGAAGAGCTAAGCAACCAAATGCCTACCTGCCCTTTCTGAGCCAGGGTTGCTTCCAGATCTTCAATTTTGGCTTTATACCTCAGCACCTCTGCTTGGAGCTGTTCTTGAGCCTGGTGAGATCAAAATCCCAGAACTCAACAAGTGAAATAATCATTAAATTTCCTTCTTGACTAGAACTCATCGAGAGAGAGAGAGAGAGAGAGAGAGAGAGAGAGAGAGAGAGAGAGAGAGAAAGAGAGAGAGAGAAAGAGAGGGGAAAAAAAGAATAATTTTCTATGACACAAGAATCTTTCTGACCTGAATTCTTGTTTAAAACTCCCAGTAGCATTCTTTATTTTCAGGTTAATATTCAAACTATTAGAACTCCCGTTATATTTCCAATCTTTTCCTAATACTTATCAACCGAGAGTCAAACCCTTACCCGCTGGTATAATCCTTGTTTCCTAAATATGCCTTGTAATTCTCCACTCTTCTCTTTATTTGAATGATTTCCCTTTCATGAAAGCCTTGTTCCATTTTGCCTCCCCAAATTTATTTCCATCCTTATTTATTTATTTTTTTGTGAGACATAGTCTCTCTCTTTTGCTCAGGCTGGCATACAGTGACATGATCTCAGCTCACTGCAACCTCCGCCTCCTGGGTTCAAGCAATTATCCTGCCTCGGCCTCCCAAGTAGCTCGGATTACAAGTGCGCGCCACCACACCCAGCTCATTTTTGTATTTTTAGTAGAGATGGGGTTTCACCGTGTTGGCCAGGCTTGTCTCAAACTCCTGACCTCAGATGATCTTCCTGCCTCGGCTTCTTAAAGTGCTAGGCTTACAGGCATGAGCCACCATACCTGGCCTTTCCATTCTTTCAGAGCAAACTTTGTGCCTAAATTTAAATCCTCAAATCAATTTCTCTCTTTCTCTCTGTCATATTTTGTGTGTCTGTATGTACAAGGAGTTTTGAATACTGATCTCGTATGGAACAACCTTCTTGTCCTATGCGATTTAGCCTAGTAATTTGTTTCCTGCCTGTAAACCAATTTTTTAAAAAATAATCTAGATAGGTTTTTTAGTACAAGGTTGAATAAAAACAGCAATGATAGATATCCTCATTCATGGTGAGGTGAATATTTCTTTTGATTATGAACTATTACATTTACCTTTATCAGGTCTAAAAAATGCTGAATTTTGCTAAGATTTATTTTAACTGTGAATCACGTTGACCGTAACCTATTTTTTATTGTACCTAATTATATCTTTTGTTTTCAATGATGCTTTCATCTGTATTATTTTTTAATTTCTAGTCCCTTCAAATTTACTGTTTTTTTTTTTTTCTAACATCTTAATCTTTTAGATTAGTTTTCTCAGAATGATAAGTTTTTCTGACTTTAATGGCCAGAGATAACGCTAAACCTTTATTTAGATAGAAGAATTAAATGAAACAGGGAGGAAGCTCCAAAAAGTAAAAGGGGGACATATGTTATTATTTTAACTGCCCAATCCATGTTGGTAAAAATACTTAATCACAAATATCATAGCACCAGGGCATACACATGACAGCAAACAGGTACATTCCTTTGTAATGATTGCTTGCCTGTTTTAAATATGTGTTTTTAAAAAACCTGCTTATTTACTTATATGTGTGTGTATGCATCCTACTGTTTAAAAATTTATAACTGTTACAGCTATCCTTTCCCACTTAACAATAGTAGTTGTACAAAAACCCTCAGTGCATTGTAGACCTTCCAGAACGACAGAAGGATGAAATCCCTGGGTGGTCTGGGTAGTCATGCTCCCTTTTGACTCATGTAAATTTACCTACAAGGCAATTATAGCCTGGAGATTATGACTGTAAAGTCACGAGGCTAGGTTTATATTCCCAAATATATCACCCTAGGCTATATCCTAGCCTTGTGACTTTAGGTAAAGAATTTAGCTTTACTAGGCTACATTTAACTTCTACTAAGCTATAATTTCCTCTTTTGTAGAAAGAGGATAATAATCATATCCAGCTCCTAGGGTTGTTTTAGGATTAAATAGATAATGCATGTAAAGTGTTCAGCTCAATGCCTGGAACACAGCAAGCACTCAATAAATATTAAGAATTAGTATAGTACATGCCTATCTTATCTTTTCTTTTTGTTGAAATAGGCTCATGAGAGGCAGTTATGATATAAAGGAAAGAACATTCGATCCCGTAAAACTTAAGTTGTAATAACAGCTTTGCCATTTACTATTTGTGTAATTTGGGGCAATTCAATTAACCCCTCTGAGTCTCAAATCCCTCTTTTGTAAAATATCTGCCTTGGGGGCTGTCACAAGGGTTAAGTGAGATATTGTCTGTGAAAATTCTGATAAGCTGTCAAACGTAAATGCTGTTCACTTAATAACTAAGAGAAGAAATTGGCTCACTATTGCTTTTGAAAGATAAAAAAAGTAATTTTAAGCAAGAAACTAAAAAAATGGCTTAACAAAATCCAATATTGTCTAGCTTTGAAAATGTATGTTTTCAAATAGCAAGAAAAAGAACTATGTACTCAGCTTTCTTTAAAGGAACAAAAGCACTGATCTGAGCTGGTTCTAATACATCTGGCTTCAAGGTTTGTTGACATAAAAGCTATACCAGTCCAAAAGTTGCAAAGGAGAGAAGAGTACAGGGAAAGCTGTCCTGTTGATATTTTTATGTCCGTGATACTTTTATGCTGTGACTGCTGCACGCTAATTCAGAGCACTCTCACAGACATACACTAACCTTGGCTTCTCGTTCAGCGTCAATGATGCCTCCTGTCTGCTCCTGTAAGAGGGCATATGCTCTTTGGAGGGCCTGATATTCTTTTGTTAATTGTCGAAATCTTAGTTCAGATTCTTCAGCTGCTAAACTCTTGAGGTTAAAAGAAAAGCGCCAAAACAATTGTGTTATGTTCAAGTCCTGTATTCAATGTGAAATACTAACATTTGACCACTTTTTAAACAAGTAAAAGATTCGTTTGACAGTCTATTTGATTTTATTTTTAGCTCTGAAGTATATATCTGGGCACGAATACTGTAATCATTTCAAATCGGACACTGCAGAAATACGTAAATATTTATTTTAGTAAAAGAAGCATTTACCATTTGATACATTTCTCATTGTTAATTATTTGGGTTCCAAATGAGAAAAAGTCATATCCAGATTTTGGTCCTAAATTTGAGGAAATGATACCCTACAATTTTTACTCTTATTTATTTTCAATATGTTCATCTCCAACAACTTGTTTTTATTTACCCCCCAGATAAATCATAAAGTTGTTTTATTGCTTTAGATCTTAAACTTCAGGATATAACATAACCAACAGGGAATTTTTGGGAAAGAATGAAGATTGGGGTGTTTCACTCTTAAAATCTCGAATCAGGAGTTGCATGGTAGGATCCAGGAATGTTCATTGTAACTGGGCCCTCTAGATCATTCTGATGAGGGTGATCCACAGAGCATACTTCACTCAAGAGTGTCTCAGACTACATTCAAAAGCCTGCTAAGCTTGCTCTGTGGTTCCTACCTTCCCTAGATAAAGAATCTCGGAAAGTAACTTTTGTTTTGAAAGACGTCTTCAAATTAGAGGACTGAACTGTAGAAACATTTCTAAAAGGTTTGCCTGTTTTCAAGAGATAACAACACACAGTCTCAAAATGGGTTACTATTATCACCATTATGAGATATGGTTTATAGTTTGTATAAACTTTGTGCTGTTTATGCAAAGGAGATAAAAAGCAGAATGCTTTTTCTTCCCACTTAAATCAGAGATTTGGTGACAACAACATCACCCATGGCTAGAGACATAGAAAAGCTTACTTCATCCAAGTCATCATCGGGAGTAGCTGGTGTTCTGTCTGTTCTAAATGAGGCCATGGATGATGTCTCTGAATCCATAGAGTCCTCATCATAGCCAATAAACGGGTCTAAAACAGGCCTCTAAATGGAGGGAAGGTACATATTTACTGACACAGCTAAAAGTAGGAAAAGTTAAATGTTAAAATACTGTCAACTGGCATACATGCAAACGAACATAGACGACATGAATCCCCAATGCTTCTTTGTTGAAATAAAAACATCAGGCACCAACGTAATTCCAATCAGTGTTTCTCGAATATTATTTCACTTCTGACATCTTCAAGAACAACTCATTGAGCATTTTTCATAGAAATACTGAAGCCTCTTTCATATTACATGTTATGTCATGATGAGCTAATGTGGTTTACTCTTTCCTGTATTTAAACGACAACTAAAGGATTTCGAAAACTCTGGTGTCTATGTGATGAAGATGATCAAATCTTAAGTCTTTTCATCCGAGTCCACATCAAAAACAAATGATATACTTACTAAAAACAAAAATAAAAATCAAACAGACTAAATAACAAAACTTTGTGGATTATAAGAGGCTATACAGATATTGGTGGATTGGGAGGAACATTATCAATAATATTGTCTGAATGAATAATAAAACTGTGTTAATACTGTTCAGTGAGAGACAGCAGCTCATGTATATTTCTTGAATATTCTTGGAGTATGACTCTCCAACTTGTCAGGTAATCCTTTCTAAGTCAAACCTAGTGGCATCTCCATTTAGAGAAAGTCCTATTAAAGCAAACCCTTTCAGGTTAAAATTTACAACAGAATCATTTTTAGACTTCGAAGAAATGTCAACAGAAAAGATTTTCTTCTAGCAAATAAAGCCCATGGTTTGCTGCAACAGTTTGGGAACATCTGATTCATCATATCCTTGCAGGAAGATTCCATGCCAAGACTCATGTCTCTGGCTGTTTGTGGCGAATGCCTGATAACCTCAATTTCTTATTACCTTAATTGGCTTGGAGCTTCTTCTATGCTTTCTTCTACGGATGAGCTTTTCTCGGTCCTGGAAAACAAATGAAAGATTTTTTTCAGTTCCAGAATTGGTAGATGTTTCTCTATAGTTTTTTTTTTTTTTTCAAAGACAGAGTGTTTTTTCCCTTCAGGCATTATATTTGGAATAGAATAAGACTTTGTTTTTTAAATTTTGGCAACTTTTGGGATTGATACTTAAATATATTCAAAATAAGAATCTTCTACAACTATTCCTGATGACTTACGTGGATCAAGGAGCCTCATGATCAGAAAATGTACTGTGTTCCTAATCAGAATCCTTTGTTTTGTGCTTGAAAATCAAGTAGCTATGAAAATAATTATTCATATTCCTCCAAAGCGCAGTACGTTAGTTCTCCTAGATCCAAAATTACTTTAAATTTGTGTTAAAAAATACAATTTCACAATAAAGTAAAACCGTATTCTTTTCATTTAGTCATTTGAAATGCATGGAAAACTGTCTTTTGCCTATTTTTGGATACTTGTTCTCACCTGCAGTCCCTGAAAATAGGACAGGGAACAGAGTGTCTAGTGGATTGGAGCCATTTAGTGTTCCTGTTTTGTTTTCAGTTTTTAAAAAATTTTCTGGGAATCTCAAAGAATGCCTAGAAATATTGAACAATTTCATGATTTATTGTTGCTGTGAATGGAGATATCCAGGGAATTTGGGGTTATTCACTAAGTACTCCATGTATTTACTGTACAAATTCAAACTAGATAGAGTGTCTTTTGGAAAGTCTGATGAGTATGCCTAAATAGCCCAAGATTCTATAAAAAACTTACAGCTTAATCTCAGGATACTCAAAGCCATGCAAATTCCTGGGTTCATGAATCTGTAAAATTTATAAGCTATTGGGATGTGAAAATGAAATGAGAAAAGCAGGGAGCCCACATTTAATAAGTAATCTGATTTAAGCCAGTGGTGTTTAGGCTTTTTTTATTTTTATTTTTCACCTTTAAGAGTAAAAATGCCACCTCTATATATGAGACTTTTACAATTTATACATTTTTGTGATGATTAATACTGAGTGTTAATTTCATTGGACTGAAGGATAAAGTATTGTTTCTGGGTGTATCTGTGAGGGTGTTGCCAAAGGAGGTTAACATTTGAGTCAGTGGACTGGAAAAGGGAGACTCACTCTCAATCTGGGTGGGCACCATCTAATCAGCTGCCAGCTCAGCCAGAGACCAGATTAAAAAGCAGGCAGAAGGACATGGAAACACTAGACTGGTTTAGTCTCCCAGCCTACATCTTTCTTTTATTTCTTCCTGCCCTGGAACATCAGACTCTAAGTTCTTCAGCTTTGGGATTTAGGTTGGCTTCCTTGCTCCTCAGCTTGCAGACAACTTATTGTGGGACCTCACCTTGTGATCATGTGAATCAATACTCCTTAATAAATTCCCCTTTATGTATACCTCTATCCTATTAGTCGTCCCTCTAGAGAACCCTAATATAATTATATATTTAAATTACCTTCCTAATCTAATGTATTCATTATAACATATTGTCAACACAGAAATTTTAAAAAGGATGAATCATAAGTAATTATTAACAGAAGCTATACCCTTTCTTTCCCTCAGTGGCAGTGAATCAATTTTCTCACCCTACTCTGGAGACTATTGCCTAACTCCCCCCTTGCTATTGAAATCTTTAGGCCTTGACTTGGTTCTGAAGTGAGAGCAACCAGAGATGTCATTCACAGAACAAAGATGGAGAGCAAAGAAGAAAACCCAAAGGCATCTAGAGGTCTTAGTGCATCCTTTAGTAACATAAACCTCAGCCAAACTCAGATGGAAGTAATAACCCTTTCATCCACTCAGCAGGTACTGAAGTAATGATCAGAAAATCTGGACTGAAATTTTAGTTCCGTTATATAATATTGTTGCTGTTTATCCAATAAGTATTTATTAAACTGTAACTATGTGCTAGACGCTGAACTGCGACCTGGGAAACAAGAGATACATGTGATGTTGTTGTCACAGACAACATATTAAGTCTCTGAGCCTCAGGATCCTGCTACTGGAAGGCAATTACAAGACACACCCACCCTACCTACAAACTTATACCACAACACGTTTAGAAGTTCTTTTAATGTACTTTGCTGTTATTATTTGTGCCACCAAATTAGTTAACAAAGAATTATAATTTAAAAGTTGTAAAGCAGTTTAATAATATAAAATATTGGAATGTAACCTCTAGAACAAAATTACATATTGAACATCTGAACTTGGGCCTCTGGAGTTAATCTAAAATTAACTGATTTCAGTATAAATTTTGTTGGCTACTTGTCCTTGGAAACAGCTTAAGGTTTAGAGATTGATTGGCACGTACCCTTGTGAGCTCATCAATAATGTTCTGTTGCTCAATGACCTGAAGTTTTAGGAACTCTGTTTCCTGCTCTTCATTAGCTTGGTCGAGGTCATTCAGAGATTTTAATTTCTTCAGGGGTGGATGGGATGTTATTTTTTCTCTCTGAATTGGAAAAGAAGAAAGGACAGGTGAAGTCTTTAAAAATCTCAAACTTTGGTTGTTAACACAAAATTATCTGTAGAAAGTTTGTGATGCTCCAGCTAAATTTGGAAATTACGCAGCCTGAATACACACACACCAACTAAATCCTCAAGCACATTTTATGTGGCATAATAAATCATCATTGGAGATTGTCTGAAGATCTCTATAGATGCATTGAAAGTCTATTAAGAGGTACATTAGCATATCACTTGTCCATATATAATACATGTAATGGTATCCATTTTCCAACTATCACGCACAATCTTAGAAGACAAGATGTGCCTAGGGTATAGATCTGTAAATAGCATGTTAGTGAAGTCATGGAAGGTTTCTGTGGCTATGTCAAAGCTTTCCTTCTCCATTTCCGAGCTTTTGGAAAGCGTGCAAATTCCTGGAAGCACTCCTACGGTTTTACAAATATAGAAATCTCATAAAATTCAGAGCCAGCAAACTTCTCTTGCTTTCTTTCTTGAAGCTTCCTTGCTTACATAAGGAAAAATCCAGATAGCATTGTATTTTAAAAAGAAGCTGAGAAATAGCAATAAGTCCAGTTATTGGGGTAATATAATCAAGGAAGCTGCAGTTTCACAGAGTCTGTGATACACACCATTTCTGAATTTTCCTTGGTAACAGCCTTTAGTTTTTCTTCCATGCGCTGCAAGGACACCATCAGTTCATCGTTTCTCTTGGCGAGGCACTTGTTCCTTTCCAGGAGAGGTTTACATTGCTTTTCGGTTTCCCGCACACGTTTTAACTGGGAAGAAATAAGTTAAGATTTGTGTCTTGTGTTTGAGGGACTTGGGGGCAGGGAAGTAAAGTGGTGGGAGTGAAAGCATCTCTGGAGCCGGCATTGTTTGCTTCACTGCGTGGCTCAGGACTGACCACTGTCATTTCAGTCCTTCATTTAACAGATTGATGGCCTTCTTTTCAGTTTTTTTCTAATGGCTTTTCATCACAGCCTTCATAACCCCATATCACTTCATTATCTTAAGGAAAGTACTGCAGACACTGGTTTTTGGAAATGCACCAGAGGACCTGCTCTCTTTGCTTTCTTTTGCTTCCCCCACCTGTTAACCCACCTGTTAACACACAATGCTCAGCTGTAGTCTCTGCACCTGGAATTACCTTCATTAGCTTAGAGATAAAGGAGCTCACCCAAATCACACGGGTCACTAAGTATTGCGACCAGGACCTGAATCCAAGCCTGGTTATCTCCAAAGGTCATTCTTTCAGAGATCTTGTGGAGATCACCTGACTCACACTACAGTTGTTATTTTAAAAGAAGTTTCATTGAGGATAAAACCCCAAGTAAGTTTGAAACTCTATCAATGTTTGTGTATAAGGATATGGAATTCTCTCCACGCTTAGTAAAGGATGATTGCATTGTTATCCACCCATGATTAAGAGTGATCATACTCTCATTTGCTTGGTTAGTCTAAAGCAGGGTTTCTCAGTCTTGGCATCTGTGACTTTTTGAGCCTGATGTTTTTTTGATGCAAGGTGTCCTGTGCACTGGTGGATGTTTAGCAACATCCTTGGCCTCTGCTTGTTAGATGCCAGTAACACTGCTGATTGTGACCACCAAAAACATCAGATATTGCCAAAATCACTTGTAGCTGGGAACCACTGGTCTAAGTTTATGAAAACTGTCTTGGGGTGATAGTTAATAGTCCTCCCCTTTACTTATAAAACTCTCCTATTTGTATATTTCATAATCACCCTATACATAATGGATTTTCATTTTCAGCTTCTCATGATTAGCTTATTCTTTTCATACCACTGATTCTGAAAGTGAACATGTATTGGGAGAGGAGCAAGGAAAAAGGAGGGGTATATCAGAAATATTTGAGAAGACTTTTTAAAGTACTCACTCCTGTTCTTGAGTGTCTAAGATTTTGGGAAGCACTGAGGTAGGACACTTAGCTAATTATGAATATTTGTAAAATCTAATCTTATGATTCTTAAGCAGCACTTCCACAAATCCATCTCAATCTCAATTTAAAAACTTCATTTCATATTAAAGGACAAAACTGGATTTATTTTTATAAATAATCTGACTTAGTCCTGAAGCATTAATGCCTTATTCCTTAGTGCCTGAAGCATTAATATTAAATATTGTATACATATAAGTACAATAATCTACTAGGTTCACTATTTTCATCTGTCTCTTTTGAAGGTCAATGATGTGAGTTTTAAATATTTAAAATTTACTTATTAATGCTACTCATAGAAAATGCAAATATGCACAAAGAAAATACCTATAATTTATTATATCATACATCAATAATCACAGTTCCACAATACCCAATAAAATGTTTCTTTTTTTTTTTTTTTTTTTTTTTTTTTTTTTGAGACGGAGTTTCACTCTTGTTACCCAGGCTGGAGTGCAATGGCGCGATCTCGGCTCACTGCAACCTCCGCCTCCTGGGTTCAGGCAATTCTCCTGTCTCAGCCTCCTGAGTAGCTAGGATTACAGGCACGCACCACCATGCCCAGCTAACTTCTTGTATTTTTAGTAGAGACGGGGTTTCACCATGTTGACCAGGATGGTCTTGATCTGTTGACCTCGTGATCCACCCACCTCGGCCTCCCAAAGTGCTGGGATTACAGGCTTGAGCCACCGCGCCCGGCCAAAATGTTTCTTTTAGGGTACACCTTAAATAAAACACAGAAAGGTTGAAAAAAAGTATGTATATATATATGTGTGTGTGTGTGTGTGTGTGTGTGTGTGTGTGAATATGTATGTATATATTCATGTGTATATAGTTGTACACACGTATATATACATACATACACATATACATTCACACTAACACTAAAACAAAAATCTGATACAGTTCAACTAATAACAAAGGCTTTAAGTCAAGAAGTACTACCAGAGGAGAAAAATGCATAATGATTAAAGTGTCAATACACACAAAAAATATAACAATTATTTATTTTCATCTAGTAACATAATATCTAATATATTATATATTATAAATATATATTTTATGTTCTATATGCATATAAAGTAAGATTGAAAGAACTGAGAAGGATATAGACAAATCTATTGGGAGAACAAGCAGACAAAAATATCAGTAAGAATTCAGAAAATTTAAAAAAAAAGAATTTAGAAAATTTTAAACAAGATTATTAACAAACTTCAATCAAATTGCAACTAATAATTATAGAATATGCCTTCTTTTTATGTAAACATGTAACATTTCTAAAATTAACTGTATGCAGAGGTCATAAAGCAAATCTCAACAAATTTTGAAGGAGTAAAATATACAAAGTACATTCTCTGACTATAGTAGAATTAAGGTAGAAATTGATACCAGAAAGATAACTCAAAAATCTCTAAATGGTTTGAAATTAAGCCATATACTTCCAAGTGACCCATATATCAAAGGAGAAATTACATGACATTAGATAAAATTTTTGAACGAAATAACAATATATCATACTAAAGGATTAGAGGGACAATTACAGCCTAAAATGCATATATTTGAAAAAAGGAAAGACTAAAAATAACACTTTTATGTGAATAGTTCTATTAAAGTAAAAATGTAAGCCATAGAGTAAGATATTTTAAATGCAAATGTACCAGAAGTAATGATAAAAAATTCTAATAGTAACTAAAACAATAAAGGCAGCATAACAGAAAATGGGCAAAAGGCTAAGGGAAAACTATAATATAAAAAATATCTGAAAGGCTAGTAAATATTTGAAAAGTTACCCTACCTTCTTAATAATGAGGAAAATTAAAACCATAATGTAAGGTGTAAGAGTATACCTTACATCCACCAACATGACTAACAATTATCTTTCTATGTTGGCAAATATATGGAAAAAGTACCACTTTCATTCATGATTGGTGGGAATTGTGACAACTTACTGTTTGGTAATAACTACTGATGCTGACTACACCTATAATCTAACATCCAGTAATTCTACTCCTCTGTATATTCCACCAGAAATGGGCAAATTTTTTCACAAAAGACATGTAGAAGCACTGTTCTTCTCAAAACAGCTCAGAAATTTTAAGGAACAACATAAATGTCCATTAACGATAAAATGGATAAGTATATTGTGATATATTATTTGAATACTACAGAGAAATGAAAATGAATGAATTCTACATGCAGCACAATGGATAAATCTCACAAACATAAGGCTGAGTAAAGATGCAGAAGAAGTAAGACAAAAAAGAAAACATTGTATGATTCCATTTACAAAAAAAAATTTTAATGGTGATAGACATCTATAGTGATTGAAGGCAGAATAGTGGTTAAGTTTAATAGGGTGCTGATTGGGAGGGGTCATAAGAAGCAGGGGTTTGAGATGCTTATAATCTTCCACTTATTCATCTGGATGGTGGTTTTTTTGAGTGTGCCACTTTGTGAATATCTATTGAATGGTATCTTTGTTATTGGTACACTTTTCTCTATTATGATACATGTCTATAACATAGTATGTAATTCTGTAACATAATGCTTAACAACAACAACAACAAAACATTTTAGTGTATCTCACCAGTTCATTTCGTTCATCTCCAAGCAAGGTATTTCTGTCTTCTAATTTTCTTATGGTGGCATTCAATTCTGCTATTCTCTTTTGGTTTCTTCGCAAATCCTACACCGAAAAATTAAAATGGGTATTCTTCAACAACATTTTTCACAAAGTTTGGGAATATCACTTATTATTCATAAAAGTAATAAGCTCAGTTCTCTTATCTGATTCCTGAAGTGAGAATAAAATATTCTCTTATCCAAAGAGTAAATATTTACCCTTTTATAACTTTCAATATTCACCACTTGGGTTGAAGACCATGCCAGGTTGTAATTGCAAATGAATTCAATGTGGTAGATACTCCCTGGAACCAGGACTCGGCAAAGGGGGAGTCAGAGCATTGGATCAACCTATCAGAGCTGTGTGCTATGAGACCAAGGTCATGCTGTGATAACATAGGCTTCAAAGGGCATCCCTTGTGTCATGGCCACAACATTGCTTCCCACAGCTTAGACAGCTGTCCTGCTATTAACCATCAGCCACAGAGGGGAGAGAGTAGGAAGTAGGGATGGGTATTGCCAATTCCTTCATACTCCTGAAGAAAAAGATCAAAGTGAGAAAATGTTGGTGTATTACTTTCATGTGTAAAGGGCAGTAGTTCATAGGATAGGCCTCATTAGTATATTCTGCCCAACGCAACTGGCTTCTCCACTGGCAGAATTGCTATGAATCACCTTACACAGGGCATTCATGGCTTAATTTCATATTGTAGAATTACATAAGACTGTTATTGTTATGTGCTAGCAATTATATTATCATCTTACATTTTGATAATGCTTTACTGTTGACAAAGCAGTTTCAAACATACTATATCCCTACATTCACAATATCCTAAAGGATTTAGCAGAATAGGTAGAATTTAGGTATAAAATAACTCCTTTAAGGTCTTGTGGCTAATATCAAAAGATCGATAACTAATATGCATTAAATGCTATGTACCAGACACCATGCTTAACATTTTACATATTATGTCTTCTAATCATTAGATCAGCCTTATGAGGTACTACTATAGCTTCTATTTTACAGATGAGAAAACTGAATGGTGAAGTTGTTTGCCTAAGGACACATAGTAAATGGTAGATTTGGGATTTGAACCAAAGAGTCTGACTCTAGAGTCCATTCTCTTGACAACTATTCTATATTGCAGGTACCTGTCAGTGTTAGAACTAAAACTTACATCTGCTAAATCCTAGGTAAGTAGTCTTTCCACCACCTATTAAGATATATATATATATATATATATATATATATATATATATATGTATGTATCTTACCATATATATATGTATATCTTGAATACCAATTCATAAATTATTCATTACTAAGTTCTAAGTAGTACTTTGGAGCCCATCTCTGTTCCTAAATAATACATTTCCATCATTATAATAGCTAAATAGTTGGAAAAGGTGTAAGCGTTATAGCCAACTGCATATAAGCCCATTTGTATTGCTGCACTTTTGAAAATAATTTCTCATATAAAATGATGAAAACCCAGGAAAATAAGTGGTAAGTTCGATAAGTCTTTAGATGAAGTTTATAAATGGTTTTGCCTTTTATGCAGTTATACATTTTGTGTCCTGTAGATGACAACCATCTTTATCAATTTCCAACCCAATTGTTCATAAAAGGGAAAATGACCAGTCTAGGCAAGAGGCAAAATATTTTCACCTAATTTATGTTTCTCATAATAGACTTAAGTTTAAATAGATATTGCCTGACCAGAAAAATTCTAGGAAAGATTTAAAGAAATCCGTAAGTCTCATGTGATCTGCTAAGGCACTGCAGACCACCTAGTCATCTATGAGTTTAGAAAACCCTGTTCCCAAGATACTAGCTGAGTTGACAGTAGAAGGTAGATTGATTTCTTTGTAGTAACCAAGAAAAGAGCTTAAGTGAAAGGTAAAGCTTGGGGGCTAAATAAAAGATGACTTGTGTGTTCTTAACTTCAGCTAGACTGGACTTACAGGACTGCTGCAGTGTTCGGAACCATCGCCTGCCCTTCCTGGAATTTCTCGTTTCGGGCTGCTCATGTTGCACTCAGCCTCCTTGACCAGAAAGAGTTGTTCATCCAGAGCCTCCTTCTGAAGTTGCAGTTTCTGTACATAGCCTGTCTGGGTCTCCAGCTCCTTTTCCAGGGAAAAGATGATCCTGTCCTTGGCTTTGATTTCATCCATCTGAATTAAATGAGACCCAGGACATTTTATTTAACAATGCTGTAAATAAATACATTTTTATAATGGTATGCATTTCACTTCTCTCATCTGATTGATACAGAAAAATATCATGAGTATGACAAGTGTATTGATTTCATGTATAAGATGAGGCAACATTGTGTAATGAACAAGTATCCTGGGTTGACTTGGCGTCAAGGAGAGTAATTTTTTTTCTCTCTAGTATATCCTGTGAAGATGTTTTAATTCAATACATTGTTTGAATTAGTCTTGGTTGATTAGACACGTCTAACTTTAAAATGGTCATTAATTTTAATAAACATGAACACTAAATATGCCACTATAATGTTTCGTAGGACATTTGTTGATGTCACTTCTTCTTTGGAAAAATGGGTATTCAAATTCAACCATAGTAGCCATTGCTCTTGTTAGTAGGTGATCATTTGTAACTGAAGAAACTTCAGACTTCCCAGTGGCCTAGTCATTTTCCAAGACTAACATGCTTGCATTCAGGTGATGGATTTGGAGGGAGATCCTTCCACAGTTCATGTGTTATAGCTCCTTCTATTCTCACTTGTGTTTCAGAGCGGCCATCTTAGCAACCATTTTACCATTACTATAAGAAAATCATGGTTGGAACTAAAATGAATAGAAAATATCTGGCAATATTAACTACTGTTTTCTCTCCCACATGCGTGAGATATATTTATTGATTCCAATATGCATTTCTGCTAAGCCTAGGCATGGCCTCAGAAGAATTTCTCAACTAAAGGCCACGGGCTTCAATACCAATTGATTTGAGTTCCTTTAGACTGAAACCTTTTTGCCATCCTAGGATAAGGGATAATGAAGTGAATGTCTATGAACAATTTTTAAAGAGATCATAGCCATTGGGTGAAACCGTTCTCCTCATTTCACTATATTCTATGTGTACATTCAAAATGGAGATAAGGAAAAGACATTTAATACAAACAACGTTATGCTGTTTTGCATTTTCTAAAAGTGTCTTTTTATACAAAACAAATAATTCTGTATAAATCTTTTTTTGCTGTGTGCTCTTAGACCAGAAAAAAAAATCTTTGCAACAGAAATGGTGTTACATAGTTACATATGTTCCACATATAAGTATCTGTGAGCTACTGCCTTTGAGTCACATGCTTAAATTTTAGGTCAATTCTGAAAGAGCTTTGGACTAAATTCTTCATGATCTTGTAACATCATCTGATAACTTGGTAAGAATTCAATATTGTCTTGCTAATTGGGAATAATAGTACTGTATCTGGTTTGCGCCTCCTTGTATACTTGAAACCAGTGTTTTTCTTTTTTCTTTTTTTTTTTTTTTTTTTTGAGACGGAGTTTCGCTCTTGTTACCCAGGCTGGAGTGCAATGGCACAATCTCGGCTCACCGCAACCTCTGCCTCCTGGGTTCAGGCAATTCTCCTGCCTCAGCCTCCTGAGTAGCTGGGATTACAGGCACGTGCCACCATGCCCAGCTAATTTTTTGTATTTTTAGTAGAGACGAGGTTTCACCATGTTGACCAGGATAGTCTCGATCTCTTGACCTTGTGATCCACCCACCTCGGCCTCCCAAAGTGCTGGGATTACAGGCTTGAGCCACCGCGCCCGGCCGAAACCAGTGTTTTTCTTAACTGAGCAGTATGTTCATTTGTCAGACTTGTCATCTAGAGCATTACTTTCATTTACAGGTTAACATAGCTCTAGTTGTTTTTTTATGTACTCACCTTGCTAGACTTATTGAGAAAGCATTCCATTACTATCTACATTCATCCTCATCATAACCATCATCGCAGCTGAAATTCATCGATCTTTTACTATATTCAGGGTACCATACTCAAAGCTTAATATACCCTATTTTATAAGAATCCTATTCAGTAGGTTCAGCCGTCATCATTTTACAGATGAAGACTGAGGACCTGAAAGCTTAAAAATTCGGTCATAGTCATATGTCTCGTAAGTCCTGAAGCCTTATTTTTAATGGATCTTCTGACTATAGAGGCCATTGTGTTAGGTACTATGCTATACTAGCTTTAAGATTATTCATATACTTAAAGCATTTCCCCAAGTGGTTTTCTGCAGAATGTATAATAATTAGTATTGAGAAAGCTTTACTGCATAATGGTTATCAGCATGGACTCTGATCTCAAAATACTGAAAATCCACCAAGGCTCTACTTCTTAGATGGGAAAGAGTATACCAGAATTCTCTGGGGAAATTTTCTAGACAGAAAAGCTCCCATTTTTCTCCCTTCCAGTTCCAAAAACGGAGCTTGGGGTCGGGGAAGGCACAGAAGGAAACAATGGAGATGAGCATATCCATGCTATCCAAAAAGTTTCCTATGTTATTCCGTGCTCATGCAGTTTGTGAGCCACTCATCAGGTGGCTCAGATTTTACTTTTTTTAATTTTAATTTTTACTTTACTTTAAGTTCTGGAATACATGTGCAGAACATGCAACTTTGGTACATAGATATACATGTGCCATGGTGGCTTGCTGTACCTATCAACCTGTTATCCAGGATTTAAGCCCCACATGCATTAAGTATTTGTCTTAACACTCTCCCTCCCCTTGTCCCCTACCCTGGACAGGCCCCAGTGTGTGTTGTTCCCCTCCCTGTGTCCATGTGTTCTCATTGTTTAACTCTCACTTATGAGGGAGAACATGCAGTGTTTGTTTTTCTGCTTCTGTGTTAGTTTGCTGAGGATGATGGCTTCCATCTTCATTCATGTCCCTGCAAAGGACATGATTTCATTCTTTTTAATCACTAAATCGTATTTCATGGTGTATGTGTACCACATTTTCTTTATCCAGTCTATATCACTGATGGACATTTGGATGGGTTCTATGTCTTTCTATTGTAAATAATGCTGCAATAAACATACACTTGCATGTGTCTTTTAGTAGAACGATTTATTAAAAATTTGGTCATAGTCATATGGCTAGTAATGGGATGGCTAGGTCAAAAGGCATTTCTGGTTTTTGATCCCTGAGGGATCATCACATTGTCCTCTACAATGGTTGAACCAATCTACATTTCCACCAACAGGGCAAAAAGTGTTTCTATTTCTCCACAGCCTCACCAGCGTCTATTGTTTCTTGACTTTTTAATAATTGGCATTCTGACTGATGTGGGATAGTATCTCACTGTAATTTTGAATGGCATTTCTCAAATGATCAGAGATGATGAGCATTTTTTTTTTATATGTTTGTTGGCCATATAAATGTCTTCTTTTGAGAAGTGTCTATCTCCTTTGCCTACTTTTCGATATTTTTTTTTCTTGTAAATTTGTTTAAGTTCCTTATAGATTTTGGATATTAGACCTTGTCTGAAGAGTAGACTGCAAAATTTTATCCCATTCTACAGGTTGTCTGTTCACTTTGATGCTAGTTTCTTTTGCCGTGCAGACGTGCTTTAGTTTAATTAGATCCCATCGTTTTCGTCATGAAGTTTTTGCCCACATCAATGTCATGAATGGTATTGCCTAGGTTTTCTTTTAGGGTTTTATGGTTTTGGGTTTAACATTTAAGTCTTTAATCCATCTTGAGTTAATTTTTGTATAATGTGTAAGGAAGGGGTTCAGTTTCAGTTTTTTGCATATGGCTAGCCAGTTTTCCCAGAAACATTTATTAGGTAGGGAATCCTGTTCTCATTGTTTGTTTGGTCAGGTTTGTCAAGGATTAGATGGTTACAGATGTGTGATGTTATTTCTGAGGTCTCTGTTCTGTTACATTGGTCTATATGTTTGTTTTGGTACCAGTATGATGCTGTTTTGGTTCCTGCAGCTTTGTAGTATAGTGTGAAGTCAGGTAGTGTGATGGCTCCACCTTTGTTCTTTTTACTTAGGATTGTTTTGGCTATACGGGCTCTTTTTGGTTACATATGAAATTTAAAGTAGTTTTTAAAAATTCTGTGAAGAATGTCAATGGCAGTTTGATGGGAATAGCATTGAATCTATAAACTATTTTGGGTGGTATGGGCATTTTCATGATATTGATTCTTCCTATCCATGAGGAGGGAATGTTTTTCCATTTCTTTGTGTCCTCTCTTATTTCCTTGAGCAGTGGTTTGTAGTTCTCTTTGAAGAGGTTCTTCATGTCCCTTGTAAGCTAGATATTTTATTCTCTTCGTAGCAATTGTGAATGGGATTTTATTCATGATTTGGCTCTCTGTTTGCCTATTGTTGGTGTATAGAAATTACAGAAATGTTTGTGATTTTTTTCACATTGACTTTGTATCCTGAATCTATGCTGAAGTTGCTTATCAGTTTAAGAAATTTTGGGCTGAGATGATGGGGTTTTCTAAATACAGAATCACCTCACCTGCAAACAGAGACAATTTCACTTCGTCTCTTTCTATTTGAGTATCCTTGATTTCTTTCTCTTGCCTGATTACCCTGGCCAGAACTTCCAATATTATGTTGGCTAGGAGTGGTGAGAGAGGGCATCCATGTCTTTTGCTGGTTTTCAAAGGGAATGCTTCCAGCTTTTGTCCATTCAGTATGATATTGGCTATGGGTCTGCCACAAATAGCTCTTATTATTTTGAGATATATTCCATCAAAACCTAGTTTACTGAGAGTTTTTAACATAAAGTGATGTTAAATTTTATCAAAAACCTTTTCTGCATCTATTTAGATAATCATGTGGTTTTTGTCATTTGTTCTGTTTATGTGATGGATTACATTTATTGATTTGCATGCTTTGAACCAGGCTTGCATCCCTGGGATGAAGCTGACTTGATCATGGTGGATAAGCTTTTTGATGTGCTGCTGCTGGATTCGGTTTGCCAGTATTTTACTGAGAATTTTCACACTGATATTCACCTGGGATATTGGCCTGATGTTTTCTTTTTATGTTGTCTCTGCTTGATTTTGGTATCAGGATGATGCTGGCCCTATAAAATGAGTTAGGGAGGAGTCACTCCTTTTTAATTGTTTGGATTAGTTTCAGAAGGAATGGTACCAGCTCCTCACTGTACCTCTGGTAGAATTGGAGTATAAATCTGTCTGCTCCTGGGCTGCT